TGGAAAACCATGTGGCAGTTGGAAACCATTGTAGACAATTGATCTCGGAGCACTGACTCATTGGGCAATATGTTAAAATGATTTGGATTCCAAATAACTCCCGGTGACCCCTGCTGCAAAATATGGCAAATGGGTGGTCATGTGGGGAAGAGGTGGCCGTCTGGAGTGTTAGAAGCTTTCAGCAGACTTAAAAACACCCCCAGGTTTAACATTTAGCATTTGGCAAATGATCCCAGCCCTGAAGCCAAAGGCTGTAGTCATCAGGATACCTCCTACGTAGTATTTCCAAGAGCTTCAGAGGCTCTGCTCCAGGCTAAACGATTTGACAATCATGGACCAAAAAAATATTTTGCCAGGAGCACAGAAGTTCTTAGCAGCTGGTAGTAGTTGTTCAGGATATTTAAGTTTCGGTCCTGCGCCTACCTGATTGGGAGTAAGACTCAGTAACCTAATGGCGGCGTAAGGTAACAGTGGAAGGAATTCAACATAGTTATAGTTCAACATAGTTTTCCCTCCCCCTTATGCTGGTCTATGACCACAATAAAGATATAATTTGATTTGAGGAAGAGGATACATAAAAAGAGGCAATAAAAAATGATGCATGGCATGGAGAAAGGCAATAGAAGCTTTTCTCCCTGTGGATCCCCAGATGTTGTTGGACTACAACTCCCATCATCCTTGAGCTCTGGCCTTGCTAATTAGGGGTGATGGGAGTTGTAGTTCAACAACAACTGGGAACCCACAGGTTGAGGAAGGCTGGTAGAGTTATGTGGACATTGATCTAAACTGAATGTTGGAAGAATCAGACAGACAAAAAGAAGTACTTTCCCATACTGTGCATTGTTAAACTCTCCCAGGAGGCAGTGAAGGCCGCCATCTTGGATGGCTTGAAAAGAGAGTTAGACAGATTCATGGAAGGCAAGGCTATCAACTGCTACCATAGCTATGTTCTACCCCTACGGTCAGAGGCAGCGTGCATCTGAATACCAGTTTCTGGGAGCCACGGGTGCGCAGAGTGCCTTTGCACTCATGTCCCACTTGCAGGTTTCTCACAAGTGTTATGTACTGAAGTTCTCACCCTGGGCCAGCAGGGGGATACTGTAGATAGTTATGCAAATAAGGGATCGAAAGTGACGTTCAGTGATTGGATAGTTTTAGAAAATTGTTACAGTTACGTTGTACTGGAGCTCTATATAAGCAGGCTGACTGAACCCTTCAATTCAGTTCTGTCCTGGCCTGTGAATAAACAAGAGCTGTTTGAAGAATTGCTGTGTCGTCTGATATATTCACCCACAACTTAACACAAGCATCTGGTCGGGAACTGTGAGAACAAAATGCTGGACTGGATGAACCCATGGCCTGATCCAGCAGGCTGTTCTGATGTTCTTCTGATGTCACATAGAGGCCGGGCAGTACAGAGTCCTGAGACCCTGTGATGGTTTTGGCTGGCCAGCTATGGGGTCACTAAACCTCACCCCTTCACATACTGTGGGCACTTATGCGTTGTCCAAAATAAAATTCTTCAAGAAGAAAAGAGAACCAAATAGGACTCCAATTTGCATGAAACTTGAATATGGCAATTTAAATGTATAGATACAAATTTAGAAATTGATTGCTATAGTATATGTAGAAATAGAATACATTTCACCACAGTGAGGGGAAGACCGTGACAAGTTGGGCTGTGCGCCAGTTCAGTTTCCTGTCCAAATGCCGTTGTTGGGTTACTGTGAAGGCCCCTGATTTTCCTTGCTAGGGTTATTTATTGTTAAATTGGGCATTGGACAGTTTAAACTATTTCCAAATAGAGAACAGTCCTATGTAAAATGAGACACATAGCCATCTTCCCTAACAAAGGGTTTTGGGGAAGTAAATAGAACAAAATTATGCTAGATGGTGTTTAATGTGAGTTTAAAGCACTCAGGTTTTTTTAATTATTAAAACAATATTAAAAGTTAAACACTATTGCATACTCTATTTTAAAAAAGCCTGTTTATTTACCTCCTGCATTTCTCAGTCAATGATGCTCATTATTAAGCATTTATTTATGAGTTACTATGACAGCATGACCTGTCCTCCTGGCATTGCTGATGACTCTGTCAGCAAGAAGTCGCTTTGAAAATAAAGCACACTGGCTGCAACTTCCATGGGTTCTTTTGCCTTAGGGAAATTAAGTCACAAGATTCCAGTGCCCCAGTTCTGAGATTAATGGGTAAATTTCAGTAGGCCAAGAGCAGAAGAAATTGGGAGAATCAGCTTTGCTCTCAGTCTCACAGGTGGTTCTGTGTCTATGCTCATATTAGTGGTTTGAAACAAAGCGAGGTCGTCTCCCTTATTCTCACATTGCTGTGTAGACCAATGGGCAAGGATCTCTTCGCCCGATGTTCATCACTTGATTTGTTCCCCCAACCATCAAATGCCAAGTCACTGAAAGTGTCGTGTGTGTGGCACGTGCAACAGCTGCCTGAAATGTATAGATCTCAGCTGGACTGTGACTTCCTTTTTCAAATCAGAAGGAAGCTGGTTTGAGGGAAAAGCATCCAACAGAATTTCTGAAGAAGCTAGAGGATACCTACAGATTGTGGCTTATGTCATATGTACTCATCTTCAAACACCACCAGTGGAGTCAGCTGTGATTTGGACTCAGCCTCAGTGTAATTAATTGGAAGAGACCCCAAGGCCCTCTTGTCCAATTCAGACATTTTATTACATTAGCTGAATTGCCAAGGAACAAGTACAAAGTTCCTTCTCCCCTTCTTCCAACCGGGGGACAAAGGCTCTCTGAATAAAGTACAGTGGTACCTCGGGTTAAGAACTTAATTCGTTCTGGAGGTCCGTTCTTAACCTGAAACTGTTCTTAACCTGAAGCACCACTTTAGCTAATGGGGCCTCCCGCTGCTGCCGCCGCACCACCGCCGTGCGATTTCTGTTCTCATCCTGAAGCAAAGTTCTTAACCTGAGGTACTATTTCTGTGTTAGCGGAGTCTGTAACCTGAAGCATCTGTAACCTGAAGCATCTGTAACCCGAGGTACCACTGTACTTCTCCTTTTTGAATGGAGACAGCCTGTGCTTTTAAAAAGTTGTCAGTAAGCTATAATGTGTCTCCACACATGCAAAACTTTCACTCTCTGATGGGAAGCAAGTTCATAAAAAACTAATGCTACTGATTACAGCTCCCTCCATGAAGTACACCATCCTTTGTTTAGTAAAAGAAAAAAGAAGCCCCAGATGCTTTTCTGAAAAGGAGCCTTGGGAGAATTCTAAGGTTTGCAGAAATAGGGGGGAAAAATCTTAGAAAATGCCTGATAAAGGGTGGAAAACCTCTACAATAACACTAGTGTAGCTCAGAAGTAGGCTTGAAGATGTTCATCTTGCAACTTCCAGCAACAGCTGCAGGCTTTCTGTTAGAAATACTTCTGGCTTACTGAAACTGTAGGCCCACTTCTGACACCGTGTTGCATCCCTTGGGTTTGGGAAGGGTACTCCCAAACCTTCCAATGGGTCTGTTATAATACTAAGAAGGAGGTGGGAAGGCTTCAGTAGTAGTATCTATTTGTGAAAAACAGATCGAGAACTCGGCATAGCAGCCAGTGGGCAAGACTAAGGTTCCAACTAGCTCCCACTCAGCTGTAAAGGGAACTGCACCCAAAGCAGGGAGGGGAGTTTCAATTGCAGACCAGGCATTAATCTTAAAGAGACAGGCCACACACACTATACCTAGGACTGAGAATGTGGAGTGACCACAAAACACTAGCTATTGGTGTGGGCCAAGGTGGTGGGAAACAGTTATTTGTTTTGGATTATACAGCTCTGGGTTTCCTGTATCAAGTTGAGAGGGTAGACTAGATGACATATTAGACACATGGACACACACCAATTCTGTGATTCTATGAAAAAAGCGTGGCTTACTGTTGCTTTCCAGCAGTAACGTCATGATTATATTGTCTCTGGAATGAAAGATTCAATTTATGTTACTTTGCAAATTATGTGATGTTATGTCTTTTTAAGAATATGCAACACTAATGAGAAAAAAAGGGTACAAAATGAAATATTTGATCGGGCAGAATTGACATTAAAGATCATTAAACCATTACATGGTTACAAGTTGCCAGTAGAAATCTTATTATGACTGATCACAGGGACTCTTTGTTCTACTGCTTATACGTGCTAAGTCAAAGCTGTTCCTAATGCAAAATATGATTGCTATCAATTACACCTAAATGTTGTGGATGAAGTTGGTATGTGTGCTTTTAAAAATAAGCCCCTATTAAAACCACAGAGGCTATTTTAAACATGTGATTTCAGAACTGGGGGGGGGGGATATACAGGCCTTTCCAGAGGCTGTAATTTACAGGATAATAACTGGAACAATCACTGTCTAAAGCAGGTATTGCTCCAGCAAGGGCTTCCTATGGGGCACTGTGGGGCAATGCAGTTTCCCAGCTCTCAAGCCACAATTCGAGTAGTTCTTAAATTGAATCTAGAGGCAACCTATGGTTCCGGGTGCTTTTGCAGACAGAAAAGACAGAAATCTTGTCCAAGTTTCCAGCAGATGTTGAATAGATAGACTGCTCTTCAGTTTCACATTTTGGAATGATATTTTGGTGTTTTTCTGTTTTTGGACAGGTTTTGTGCTCAAATATTCATAGTAGGGATGGAGAACCTGTAGCCCTCCAGATGTTGTTGGACTACAACTCCCATCATCCCTGATGATTGGCCAAGCAGGGTGGGATGGATGGGCTCTGGAGTCCAATGATATATGGAGGGCCAAAGATTCCCTATCCCTGGTTGATGAGAAGATACCCCAGCATTTTGAAAGTCCTTTCTAAAACACAAATGCCAGTTGTCTGCTCTGAAATGCCAGGCATTCCCAGAAAGTAGTCCATGTATTGTTTTGAGCTCTTTTTCTCCGAGAGAAGGGGAAAGCATCCATTTCTTTCTGTAACATAACAGTATGCCTACATGGGAAAGAAGGTCAATGCATTTTGTCTTCCATTTTCAGAAACTTTGAGCTTTTTCCAACAGCAAGAGCTTCGTAGGGAGAAATGGGAGAGGAACCGGGTGACGGGGAAAGCCATCTCCCGCCGTTCTGTCAGCAAAGAACGATGGGTGGAGACGTTGGTGGTTGCTGACAGCAAGATGATTGAATACCACGGAAGTGAGAATGTGGAATCCTATATCCTCACTATCATAAACATGGTATGTAATGTACAGAATGCGGAAGCGAGGGTGTTAACTGGGTCCACACAGAATGAGCACATAGCCCTGGTCCTTTCTTGCATTTACTGGCTTCTAGACCCAACTCAAAGGACTGGTTTTAACAATAAAGCATTATATGGCTTGGGACCATGATATCTCTAAAGCAGAATTCCCCAGCTATTACGTTCCCAATGTTGTTGGACTCCAGTTCCCATCATCCCCAGCCTTCATAGCTGACAGTCAGGGATGGTGGGAGTTGTAGCTGGGGAAGGTAGGCTTTTGGCTATAAGTTCAAAGTCCATCCTCATTGCCAATTTATTAGGGACTGGCAGGCTTCCCGGGGCAATGAGCATTCGACCGAATGACTCCTCCGGTCGAGTCCTCCGACATGATTAATGACCTGAGCCTCTGATAAGGCTCCAAGCACGTTCCGCCATTACGCAGAGTATCCAGCACAGGGAAGGACAAGAAATATGAGCTACATGCTAAGAGTTTTATTACTAAGCTACGCAGACAGAAAAGGAATACATCCTCTCTCTGTGAGAGCAGAGAGTGACTGAAAAACAAAGGAACAGGAAACCAGTAACATCACATCCGTCTCCTGTCTTCCATGAGACTTCCAACAATCTGGAATGTCTCTGGAATGCAAAACAGAGTCTTGTGACTCCAAGAGCACTGCACAGTGGCAACACACAGAAACCAACATCGGGGTCCCAATCAGGTTGGGAAAAGCTGAGCTAAAAGAATGCTCCTTCCCATATGTATATCTACCCATGTCCTCAGCTTATTGAGGGAAGCTGTCCTTCAAGGGCTCCCTCTAAAGGAAATTTGGAGGATTGCCAGAAGGGGGTGAGTTTCCCCCCCCTAATGCCTCGCCCACAAATCTGTGCAATGATCTCCCTTCTTCCTGGCACCATATCTTTTTTGTGGGGAAGGGACTATAGCTCAGCAGTAGAGCATATGGTTTCAAAGCATCACAGGATCGTGACAAAGATTATTGAAGCCCAATTTATAGCCTGATATAAGAGTGCCAGGCTGATAACTTGTTTTATCTCTGGTTGTGAGCAAGTTGGTGGGCAGGATGTGAAAACCCTGTTAATGTGTCCTGTCCCCCTGTCACTGGTACTTTCCTTCAATGGACAAATGTCCCACTTGTCTAATGGATTACTTGACCTTGACTATCCCTGTCTCACATGAAGTGAAGATTGCCTGAACTAGCTCTGACAGGAACGCAGCCAAGAGCCCTTAGTAATTAATCCCTTTTCAATGCAATGCATGAATGCTAACAAAATGTCATAACTCATGGTTAGAACTTCCTTGTCATAAAAGAAACGAATAAGGCAGAATCAGCGCTCAACTGCACAGGGGCACTAACAAAAATAATTAATGGCGTTCTGATATGTTTCGATTTTGATTGTGTATGAATTGTGTTTTAGTGTGTTGGAGGCTATCTTGTGAGGGCAAAAAGCAGCCTTAAAAAATCTTTTTAAATAAAGTCAGCAATTAAAGCAGGGATGAGGAGCCTGTGACCTTCCAGGTATGGTTGAACTACGACACCCATCATCCCTGACTACTGGATGCTGTCTGGGAACTAATGGGAACTGGAGTCCATTAGAGCATGTTGCTGATAACGCCAAGGTTGCAGGTTTGGTGCCTGTATGGGACAGCTGCATATTCCTGCATAGGAACTCTACAATTCTATGATTTTATATTAGGAGGGCCACAGGTTCCACATGCCTGGGTTAAACAATTGAGAACGAGCTGCTGCAAGCTCCCCCTTGATTTCTGCCATTGAGACTGATAATGCTAGAACGCTTATTCATACAGCTGCACTGCCCTCTGCAGTAGATTCCAGAATTTATTGTAATTCTGACTGAATCAAGTGTGGGCAAATATTCCAGAGGGCATTGGGGGAAGCGGTGAGCCAGGAAAGGTTTGTTCCATCCAGCTTTTGCAAAGGCTAATTCTGGGACAAGGAAACAACCTCTAGCATAGTTTGTCGGATGTTCATCTGATCCAAGTGGTCACTGGGTGGACCTCAGTAATATGTCACATGGTCAAAAGTAGAAAAACTAGGAGCCAAATGGCTTCTGGGACCTGGGTTGTGGGCGCCAAAACAGAATGTCCAGTCACCACTGAGGGGGCGGCAACACTTTCTATTTATTATTTTGATAAGCATGCATTAATATGCAATTCACAAGTGACACATTGTCAAGATCACATTTTTAGTAGAAATTGTTAATACATGTCTAATTTGGTGTTTACAATAAAAAATATTGGTACTATACTTTGGTTTTCAAAACACTCCACTCTTTATTGTTAAACTCCTTAACCTATTGCCTATCCTTAACATATACTTTGAGGCTTCAAAGCAAATACATTTCAGGAATCCTTGAGTGTGAGCCAGGTGCAAAAAATGGCACCCAGACTTTTTGATGTCCTCACAGATGGATCATCTTTAGGCGCGAAATGTGCCTGGAGCCCTGCTAATTTCGAACCCTGCCCACATGTATGTATCGAATGAGGCAGTCCCTCAAGCACCTGGTCACAAGTTCTTTAGGACTTCGTTAGCACCAGCAAGAAGACCTTAAAGCTGGTCTGCTATCATACTATATATAGGCAAAGACCTATATTTTGTTACTCTGTGCAGTGCCAGACATATCTCTGATGGTGCTATGGAAATAGAACATCATCATCATCATCGAGGTGGTGGGGGTGGGGATACAGTGGTGCCTCGCAAGATGAAATTAATTCGTTCCACAAGTTTTTTCTTCTTGCGAGTTTTTCGTCTTGCGAAGCACGGTTTCCCATAGGAATGCATTGAAAATCAATCAATGCGTTCCTATGGAGACCGTCCGGGGACAGAGGGGAAGGCGCGTGCGCCTTCCCCTCTGTCCCCGGAGATTGCGGGGCTGGCAACGGGGAGAAGCGATCTTCTCCCCACCGTCCCTTGCTTCAAAAGAGGTCCCTCGCTATCCCCGGAGCTTGCGAGGCAAGCTTCGTTTTGCAAAGCAAGCCCATAGGGAAATGCGTCTTGCGAAGCGGCTTAGAAAACGAAAAACTCCTTCGTCTAGCGAGTTTTTCGTCTTCCGAGGCGTTCGTCTTGCGGGGTACCACTGTATTGCTGCAGAAAATGAATTAATAAACTTTATATTGTCTGGCTTTGCCCAGGTGTCTGGCTTGTTCCATGATCCAAGCATTGGCAATGCAATTCATATTGTGCTGGTTCGACTGATTCTTCTAGAGGAAGAGGAGGTAAGACCCCCCCATGTAACAATTATGCATTTCATGGACTTTCCTCTTAAGAAAGAAAGTTTTTGATAGACTTCAGAGAAGGGGAAGGAAGCCAGACAAAAGCAGGCTTTTTCAGTGGCAGCACTGGTGTTCTAGAAGGCCACTGGACATGCAAGCATTGTGGGATGCCACCAGTGTTGTGGAAAGTTGTTCTGTTGTGTGTTTTATTGCTTATCTATGTTCCAACAGCTGGACAAATAAGTCTTTACCATGAGTGTCTACTGTGTTGCTGCTTTTGTGTATTTGAGTTTTTAAAAATTATTTTTAGTGTATATTCCCTTGAGATGGTTGTTTGGAAGGTGATTAATAAATCAGTGATCATGATGTCAATGGTGATGATAATTTAATTATAAATGTATATATTTTAAATGTTGTGTAATTGTGTTAAGTGTGGTGAACTGCTTCTCTTTCAGTGATGATGATGAGGTAATACTACTACTACTAATAATAATAATAATAACAATAATAAATGCTTTTCACATGACTTTCAAGGTGATTCCCTATTCCATGATTGAGAACTTGAGGCCCTCCAGATGTTTTTAGACTCTAAATCCCGTCAGCCCTAGCCTCATAGCCAATGGTCAGGGATTATTGGAGTTTTAGCTTAAAAATATGTATGTGTTTGTTTTCCTCAGAGCTTGACCCTGGAGAGGAAACATTTGGATTGATTAGGGAACAATGTTTCCAAATTGGTTCCACCATTGTTCTCAGCATGTTCGAAGGCATTCTGAAAAATTGTGCTACAAGATTGCGTAGCTGCTAAGAATGTTGCATCTTTCTTAACCCTAGAATTGTGCTTCAATTTTTCTCTGATTTAGGGATAATGGTTGTTTCAAAACGGAAAACAAAGGGAAACATTTTTGTTTGACAACTTATTTAAGCTCTTCTGGTGTGTGTGGGTTTTTTTAAGAGTTGTGAAGGCCTCTTAATGTGCTGTTTTGCTCTTTTTGTATTTGGGGGGCGGGTATTCTTTTTCCCTTGTTTTCCAAATGACACAGTTTTATCTCAACTTTCTGGACTCAGTAACCAGCTATCATAATTACGTCTCTCGCTTCACGCAAAAGCACCATTTGTTACATCTAAGTTACCTTACTGAGCTTGATAATTAATGTAGATGCTATTAGTGTTCTAGCAGTATAATTATATATTTTTTATTTCCCTCTCTTTAGCAAGGGCTGAAAATAGTTCACCACGCAGACAAGACCTTAGCCAGCTTTTGTAAATGGCAAAAGAGTATCAATCCCAAAGCTGATGCCAACCCCCTGCACCATGATGTGGCCGTCCTTCTTACCAGGTAAGAGGATACTGTGCCAGAGACACCATGTTTGATTTCGTTTTTTAAACTCTTATTACTTCAGTAAGAGAGGAGACCAAATAAATTTCAGTAACAGGGTAAGATTCTCAGCAAGGCTTAAATGCCCACCGTAGAATTATTATTTTTGGAGGCTTGGAAGTTAGATGAGTCAAGGGTTAATAAAGGCCAGTCCTATCATTAGGTAGAGTGAGGAATCTGCCTCAGGTGGTAGTTGCTGGGGTGGTGGTGAGATGGTGGAGGACACAACAGTGTGTGCCATGAAGCATCTCCTTCACCACTAAGCTGCTAGCCTGTTGCCTTTAGTTACAGCAAAGGAAACCCAGCCAGAGGGGCGGGGTTTAAATAAATGATGATGATGATGTCTACCCAGTTGGTTTCTGCACATGTCATGGGAGGACACTATCTTGTTCTTCCCCTCAGGCAACAAAATATATTGGACTGGCCCAGTGACTTTTGGAGACTAATAGCCCAGGAAGTATCTCTTTTGTTAAGGAAATTACAGGGAAATGGCCCAGAATGACTAGGAAACTGGGCTGGGTACCACTCCCTCCCTACTCATCTCCAGGACTTCCTCACCATCCAGAAGCAGGAAGCAGATAGCAGTGGCTTGGATTCTCATTTTACTCCCATGAAGGGAATAGAGTTCACATCCACAGGAAAGGGATTCTCGACTTCCTCCTTCCCTGCGTAGCCCCCTGCACCTCCTGAATATGTGTGCCTGGGGTTGGGGGACTTTGGGGAATGGTGTGAAATGTGACACGTGGGATCCAGGTGGAGGGAAGAATTGAAAGAAATCAACGCACTTTCATGAATGGAGGGGCACCATAGGATGCAAGCCAGCTTCCCCTTACCTGGCACTCTCCAAATGTTACAATGCCAGTAACCTCTGACCATTAGCCATGCTGGCTGAGGCTGATGGAAGAGCATATCATGTCATTTGAAGGGTGCCAGGTGTTGGGATGCAGCCAAGGAATCAGGGGCAATTGGCAGGCCCCCAGCAGGCCCCCAGCCCACCGGCAATCTCAAGTCCTTGGATCAGCATGAAACTGCGACCCTAGCTTCAGAAGCCTTCAGAAGCTGGACACGCACACTCAGCAGAGTAAATAATGCTGTACAACAGAAGTGGCAGGGAGAGGCTGTGTTGAGAATATTTACAAGCAATTTATTCGGCATACATCAGGACAAAAGGAAAACATGTCTGAACTCCTTCTTGTCCAAAACAAGGCAGCAAAAGCTATACACAAACGGAAGTTCCCAGCAAGCTGTGCTGGAGTGTAAACAGACATGTGGCACACAACAGTCTCATGCCTGTCCCTTAAGGTGGAACAGAATAGTCTAACACCAGGCTGGGAACAGGTAACCTAAGACCACATATCTAAGGTCCTATTAGTTCTACATGTTACTTCACTTCATTCTGTTGTCCTTCCAGCTTTATGTCAGTTAGGAGTTTGGTTTCATTAATAATAATAATAATAATAATAATAATAATAATAATAATAATAATAATTTATTTATACCCCGCCCATCTGGCTGAGTTTCCCCAGCCACTCCCACTCTGGGCGGCTCCCAATCAAGTGTTAAAAACAGTACAGCGTTACATATTAAAAACTTCCCTGAACAGGGCTGCCTTAAGATGTCTTCTGAATGTCAGGTACAGTGGTGCCCCACAAGACGAATGCCTCGCAAGACGGAAAACCCGCTAGACGAAAGGGTTTTCCGTTTCTGAGTTGCTTCACAAGACGATTTTCCCTATGGGCTTGCTTCGCAAGACGAAACGTCTTGCTAGTCTTGCGATTCCCCCCCCCCCGCTCCCCCCTTTTTCTAAGCCGCTAAGCCGCTAATAGCCTTTTAGCAGCTTAGCCGCTAATCCTTTAATAGCCGCTAAGCCGCTAAACCGCTAATAGCGCTAATCCGCTTAGCCGCTAATAGGGTTGCTTCGCAAGACGAAAAACCGCTAGACGAAGAGAATCACGGAACAGATTCTTTTCGTCTTGCGAGGCACCACTGTAGTTGTTTATCTCTTTAACATATGATGGGAGGGTGTTCCACAGGGTGGGCACCACTACCGAGAAGGCCCTCTGCCTGGTTCCCTGTAACCTCACTTCTCGCAGTGAGGGAACCATCAGAAGGCCCTTGGCGCTGGATCTCAGTGTCCGGGCTGAATGATGGGGGTGGAGACGCTCCTTCAGGTATATTTGGTCCTTCAGGTATATTTGGTCTTCTGTTTCTTTCCTGTCCTCAGTCTGACCTTTGCTTCCTTTCTCTCTAGTGAAAAAGAGTCTTGAGTGCACATGAGAGTCAGTGTGGAGTAAAGTGTTGGACTAGGACCTGGGAGGCCAGGATTCAAATCCCCACTTGGGCCAGTCACTGGCTGTCAATCCAAGTTTCCTCACAAGAGTTGTTGTGGGGATTAAAAGACCAGCATCCTGTTCTCAGATGCCTCTGGTAAACCTACAAGCAGGACTCTCCTCTTCTGTGTTTTCCAGCAACTGGTATTCAGAAACATACTGCCTTCGACACTGGAGGGAGAAAATAGGCTCTTCTCATTTGAGTGCAAAATTGATGTGGGGGCATTTTACATGGAAAAATAATTCCTTCTGCAGAAAGGAATTAACCGCCTCAGGCCCGCAGTTAATAAGGCTGATCCAAGGCATTTTGGTGCTTGTTGTAAACGCAAATGACGCCTTTCCTTGCCCAGTGACATCAACAGTTAGCAACGCCTCATATAACTGCCCCTGTGTCCTGTTGCTTAATTGGACCCTGAATCTGAAAGCTGGTGCAGCGTGATGAATAAGAGACTCATCTGTGTTTCGAAAAAAAACCCCATTTTTAAAACCGTTTTTCATGGCTAACAAAGGTAGACATAGTGTCTCTATTTTCAGTTCATAGAGTCCTTTCTATAGGTCAGTTCCATCTGGTTTGAGACACTGCTGCTATCATAGGCATTGTGAAGTTGTGGTGGGGGACAAGAAGGGGGATAAAGACATTTCCTTCTTTTGCATAGTGCATATGCAGAGATTTTTTGTGATGGCATCATGTGGATAGGTTATTTATCCGTTCATTTATTTATTTTCATTGGCAGTGTGAGAGATTGGGGAGCCTAGTTGGTTGCATTTGGTTGGTTGCAGTGAGTTTTGTTTGGGGGGGGGGTTTGGAGTCAAATTAGCCATATTGATTGGGATGCTGTTAAGGAGGATTATGTTGTTATCTTGTTGATCCATGTTCACTCCTGAAAGGTCCCTCCAGTGAATCTTGCCTCTGCTATGAACTCACCTTTTGCAAGCTGTTCTCCCTCAGCCTCACTCTACTGCCATCATTTCATTATTTTATTTTATTTTATTTTATTTTATTATTTTATTTTATTTTATTTTATTTTATTTTATTTTATTTTATTTTATTTTATTTTATTTTATTTTATTTTATTTTATTTTATTTTATTTTATTTATTTTATTTTATTTTATTTTATTTTATTTTATTTTATTTTATTTTATTTTATTTTATTTTATTTTATTTTATTTTATTTTATTTTATTTTATTTTATTTTATTTTATTTTATTTTATTTTATTTTATTTTATTTTATTTTATTTTATTTTATTTTATTTTATTTTATTTTATTTTATTTTATTTTATTTTATTTTATTTTATTTTATTTTATTTTATTTTATTTTATTTTGTACCCCACCCATCTGACTGGGTTGCCCCAGCCACTCTGGGCTGCTTCCAGCAGATACAAAAACCTAATAAGACAAGAAACATTACAAACTTCCCTATACAGGGCTGCCTTCAGATGCCTTCTAAAGGTTGTATAGCTACCTCTCTCCTTGACATCTGGTGGGAGGGCATTCCACAGGGTAGGTACCACCACCGAGAAGGCCCTCTGCCTGGTTCCTTGTAACCTCACTTCTTGTAGTGCTGGTGCTGGATATCAGCCCTTGGTACGGGGTCTCAGTGTCTGGGCTGAATGATGGAGGTGGAGACGCTCCTTCAGGTATACAGGGTCGAGGGCCGTTTAGGGCTTTAAAGGTCAGCACCAATAAAAGCAGTGATCTATCTTACAGGGTTGTTGTTAGGACCCCAGCAAGATAATGCATGTGAAGAAGAAGAAGAGTTTGGATTTGATATCCCGCCTTTCACTCCCTTTAAGGAGTCTCAAAGCGGCTAAGAATCTCCTTTCCCTTCCTCCCCCACAACAAACACTCTGTGAGGTGAGTGGGGCTGAGAGACTTCAAAGAAGTGTGACTAGCCCAAGGTCACCCAGCAGCTGCATGTGGAGGAGCGGAGACGCGAACCCGGTTCCCCAGATTACGAGACTACCGCTCTTAACCACTACACCACACTGGCTCTCAAGTGTTTTGAACGCGAAGTGTTTTGAACGCTCAAAAGCACTATAAGTGTTAACTATAAGCAAAGTGTTAAGAGCCTAATCTATGGCCTAATCTGGTCAGCTGCAGGACAACCAGAAAGACCACACACACTAAGAACATATGAAGAGCCTGTTGGATCAGGCCAAAGCCCATCATCCTGTTCTTGCTGTAGGCAACCAGATGTCCTGAGCATAATATTGCTCTCTTTGTTTGTGATTCCCTGGTATTTAGAGACATACTTCTTTGAACAGTGGAGGTAGCCACCATGGCTATTAGCCATTGATAGCCTTTCCTTCCATGAAGGTATCCATCTTTATATCCATCTAAGCACACACTTTTAAAGCCACTGACTAGTACAATCACAATTCTTTATGGTCCAGCTCTCACTTACATACTTCACTATGGTTTTCCCAGTAGTGATGTATGGAAGTGATTGCTGGACCATAAAGAAGGCTGATCATTGAAGAATTGATGCTTTTGAATTATGGTGCTGGAGGAGACTCTTGAGAGTCCCATGGACTGCAAGAAGATCAAACCTATCCATTCTGAAGGAAATCAGCCCTGAGTGCTCACTGGAAGGACAGATCCTGAAGCTGAGGCTCCAATACTTTGGCCACCTCATGAGAGGAGAAGACTCCCTGGAGAAGACCCTGATGTTGGGAAAGATGGAGGGCACAAGGAGAAGGGGACGACAGAGGACCAGATGGTTGGGCATTGTTCTCAAAGCTACCAGCATGAGTATGACCAAACTGCGGGAGGCAGTGGAAGACAGGATGCCTGGTCCATGGGGTCACGAAGAGTTGGACAAGACTAAACAACAAAAAGTACAATCACAATGCTGATGCTTTCATTCAACCCCAACATTCCCATTTATTCTAATTAACTGCTCGTATAATGAGCTACTCATAATGCTAATCACGCTAAATCGTACTCAGAAGCATTTTTATGAGCGAAACTAAACAGAATGAAGCACAAACACTTTTGGAAACACACAAAGCCCTTTCCAAACAGAACAAAACACAAAAGCAAATATTTTTGGTCCTTACCGCTATTGTCTGCTTGCTAAAAATCGCAAGCCCTTCATTGCTTTCCCAAGTACAGCACTCGTTAACAATAATTGCATGCTTGTGATTACTGCCATAATGATCAGAAATCTGTGACCTTGTTTGCCCGGGTTTTAATTTTACTTTTTAGACAGTGCCGTGTGCTGCTGGCATTTCTCATTTAGAGAATTCTGATTCAGCATCTGAACACAATTTACGGTAAAAAGTGGCAGTGCTCAGAATTAAAAGAAAGATCAAACTGGACCACATACTGCACTAGCAGGAGGAACATAAGGAGCTTGAACAAACACAGAAAGAGAAGGAGGAAGTGTGTTTAAATCAGGGATGGGGAAACTGTGTCATTCCAGATGTTGTTGGGCATCATCTGCAGTCAGCATAGCCAGTCGTCAGAAATGATGGAAGTTGGAGTCCAGCAACATCTGGAATGATACAGGTTCCCCACCCAATGTTTCCAAACTTGGGTCTCCAGCAGCTTTTGGACTACAATTTCCATCATCCCTGACCACTGGTCCTGCTAGCTAGGGATGATGGGAGTTGTAGTCCAAAAACTGCTGGAGACCCAAGTTTGGGAAACCCTGGGTGGAATCTACACACATGTAACAACCATTCTGAAAATGCTTTTTTTAAAAAGCGTTTTTAAAAATACATTGAATTTTCCATAAGGCTCACCATTGACTATCTAGTATCACATTGTATATTGCACTTAAAACATTTTATTTGCAGCTGTATAGCTGAGTCCCTGGTTTAGAGTTTGTTCATTACATGTTGAATATATGTGAACACCCATGCCGTTTTAGCTTCATTTGTATATTTAATATACCCAGTTATACATTCAGTTATATGTTCTGGGTTCATTTGTGCGCACAAATGGCTTTCTTTATCATTCTTTAGCAAACATGGAAGAAACCAGAAGTCAACTTCAGGCTTTTAGTTTAAGGCTTTAGATAAGTGAATGGATAAATAGGAAGTTGCACGATAAATAAAAGAATGGCAAAGTTGTCCAACTAGCTTGATATTCTTGATATAGAACCTAAAATCAATTTCAGTGGCATAACATGCAAAAGCAAAGCATCCTTCTTCACGTCATCAATCAATGGGGGCGTTGGGCTTTCTCAGATTTCATATATACACAGGATGGTCTTTTGTAGCACATTATTGGTCTCTGGAAATAGCTTTCAAGAATTGTAAAAAGGAAGCAATCATCTTTTCATGGGTCACAGTCAGACAGGACTGAGAGGGAAATGTCCCTTTGTGCATTCTAACAAAAGCTCTTGATCTATGTTGAAGTTTCGTGGGAGGGATTCGATCGCATACTGGCAAATTCAGGTTGCACAGTTAAAGCTGATGTGGCGCTCTTGCACAGCTTAGCACAAACACAAAGTGACAGGAAAACGTGCTGAAAAGTGTGGGATAATTGCTTGGTATAACCTCTCTGCAAACAACTCAGAATGAATATTCAAAATCGATAGTGCAAAAAAAATCAGGATGAATGCTCAATGAAAGATTGCCCAGAAACAATCTATGTGCTTTTCTAGCCTTGCAGGAAGAAAGGAAAGAGTTGGTAGCAGAGAAGTGTGTGTGTGTGTGTGTGTGTGTGTGAGAGAGAGAGAGAGAGAGAGAGAGAGGGGGGGGGGGTATTGGGAGAGTGGTTTCAGGCTTTGCTCTGTTGCAATTTGTTTAATGGACAAGGGGAGTCTGCTGCTCCCCTTAAGATGAGACAACATTTCTGCTTTGGATGTGTAATAAGCTTTCTTGTGCAGTGTTTGTCACTGTTTATTGCTTCTCAGGGTCTGAAAATGGTGCAACTTACTTCCGAGCAGGGATGTGGGAAGAATTCAGTTCAGCTTGCATTTCTAAAACATTATGAGAACTGAGCACAACCGTTCTTCAAAGTCTGCACTTCTCCAGATTTTGTATTGCAGTTCTCCTGTCAAGTACCGTGTACAAAATGCTTGTGCTGGGGAAAGTGTGTTTAAGAATGCATAGGTAAAGGGACCCCTGACCATTAGGTCCAGTCATGACCGACTCTGGGGTTACGGAGCTCATCTCGCTTTATTGGCCGAGGGAGCCGGCATACAGCTTCCGGGTCATGTGGCCAGCATGACTAAGCCGCTTCTGGTGAACCAGAGTAGTGCACGGAAACGCCGTTTACCTTCCCGCCGGAGTGGTACCTATTTATCTACTTGCACTTTGACATGCTTTCGAACTGCTAGGTTGGCAGGAGCAGGGACCGAGCAACGGGAGCTCACCCCGTCGCGGGGATTCGAACTGCTGACCTTCTGATCAGCAAGTCCTAGGCTCTGTGGTTTAACCCACAGCGCCACCCGTGTCGTAAGAATGCATACGTTAGTGAAAATAACACAGACAATTGCGTTATAGAAGGGTAGATTGCTTGACGAATGCGTCCATTAAGGGAAAAATTGCACAAAATGTTGATGAGTTTTTATGAGGGCTTTAAAAAATATTCACAAACCGATGTGGAGAACTGAACGGAGCAGTGGAGAGATGAGGAACTGAAACATTCAGATTCACCCATCCCTGCTTCCAAGACTGAGCATACACAGGATCATGCTACAAAGTTCTTTTTATTTCACGTATTTTGCTTTGCTCTCAGGAAGGACATTTGTGCTGGCATGAATCGCCCATGTGAAACCTTAGGCTTGTCCCATCTCTCTGGAATGTGCCAGCCTCATCGCAGCTGCAACATCAATGAAGACTCTGGCCTGCCTTTGGCATTCACAATTGCACATGAACTTGGACACAGGTATGAAAACTCTGGGAGTCTTTTTTTTTTCCTTCCCCCCCCCAAAAAAACTAGGTGCGTCCTATGGGCCGGTGCGTCCTATGGGGCGAAAAATACGGTACATTCACTTCCAACCTAACTTTGAACTTCTTTCAGCATCAACTGAGTGAATATTTATCTTTGGCACTAAGGCATTTGTGGGTATCTTTCTCTGACAGGGTCTGATAGGAGTTGAAATCCAGTAACAACCTCTGGAGGGCCACAGGCTCCCCACCTTGCCATGATAGCAGAGGGATGTCACCACAATGGTTGGCATCCATGTCTGGCCCAATTGCACAAGCAACCCAAACAGGCTCTTCAGCAATCTTATTTCAGGTGTGCCAGTTAAACACTATGCAGTTTGATAGCTTCATCCCAAGATTCCCTGCAACGCTGGGCATGTATGCTGGGCTACATACGGAATCATTCTTGAGTTTCCTGTGGCTGTGCATAACCCAAGAGATGTCTCTTTTGACATCCTCTATGACCAGGGCCAGCCCTACCATTAGGCAAAGTGACCTTAGGTGGTAGATGTTTTGGAGCAGCAGTGACAGCTCCTTGGCCATTCCTTTTAAGCCCCCTGCTAATTCTCATCTGTTAGGGGACAGATATGTTAGCAGCCAGCAGCAGTTATACTTAGCTGATTGCAGCTTCTGGGAGCTCGTGACCAGGAGCTAGTAACCAGGACTTGTAAAGAGGGACATTTGCAAGGGCATTTAGTGGGGGAGTTTGAGGGGAAGCCCAGAGGACTTTCTCACAGCATGCAGGACCAAGAGACATGGAAGGTGAGGGAGCTGCTGCAGTGACCGAAAAACACCTCTGTTTTCCTGCTGGAGAAGGTGCAGCAGTACACCCATAGCAAGTGTAAACTGGTTGCCTTGCTGAAAGTGAAGGTGCAGCAATTTGAGGCCCACCTAAACACCCTTCGAGCTACAGGACAAAATGTGGAATTTCTTGATGGATCTAAGTGGACTATGCTGGAACAGCGACACAGGTGGGGTGCCCCTACAGAGGAGGAAGATTGCCCATTGCATGAGATGAACCCCTGGAGGAACGTGACACACCATCTTGTCGTTTGTCAGTCAGCAAAATTATTTGTCTATGACATTGCCAGGGCTTATTGGAGCCCTCAGATTTTGCAGTGTAGCTAATGGGAGCAGTGGGGGAGGTGGGACAAATGTCCTGGGCTGACCCTATTGGTGCCTTTCACCCCAAATCCTAGCCACTTTTATTTTGGCCAGATGTCTCCCACAGTTGTTGACTGGAAGGCAGGTCTTAATGAAACCAACTTTTCAGCATGCACAGAAATATAGCATAAAAATGCTGACTTCTTTCACAGCGCTGTTCATCTGTTGGAATATTCTGCTATGAACCTTCTCCCAGGCCAGACAGATAACAGACTTTACACTACCTGATAACCAGAAGCAATTCCCCAGCATATTTTCTGCAGTACTTGAGGTTATTTGTAGATAAGATATTCTGGTTTTTTGAAGCTTCCCTGACAGTATCTTGCACCTGGATTTGTTTCTCTCCCAGTTTTGGTATTCAGCATGATGGAAAGGAAAATGACTGTGAGCCAGTGGGAAGGAGGCCATACATTATGTCCCGGCAGCTGCAGTACGACCCCAGTCCTCTCACCTGGTCCAGATGCAGCAAGGAATATGTCACACGCTTCCTAGAGTGAGTCAATATGACAGTTTTGCTACAGGGAAATGGAACGCATTAAACAAAATCCTTATCGCCATTGCCTTTGCGGATATTGCAGCTATTTTTTAAAAACTCCATTACACTGGGTGAGTTTGGGCATCATGCTAAACCATAGTTTAGCATGATAACAACAAGCTGTGGTAAGCCTTGGGATCAAATAGCATGACAGGCTGTTGTTAATGGAAAGGGGAAGCGAGACTCTTCCAAATTCCTCCTCATTGCTCTACTGGAGAAGGAAAGGAGAGCACAGCAACCTGAGACTCACTGTACCTTGCTTCCGTAGTTTATTGTTCCATCTGACCATCACCATAAGCACAATCATTGATTGCAAAGCAAGCACAAGGGATAACAGGAGCTAGGTTACCTTCTGACTAGCCCCAATTTATTACACTGGTAAATAGATGTAGATTATAGAATCATAGAATTGAAGAGTTGGAAGATACCTCAGGGGTCATCTAGTCCAACCCTCTGCAGTGCAGGACTTGCTGACAGATGAAGATGGATCTTTGGACACGACACTTCTTATTAGCCAAAATGCCCAGAAGCAGTGGGAAGAGCATTTTAACCATATACAGTGGTACCTCGGGTTAAGTACTTAATTCGTTCTGGAGGTCTGTTCTTAACCTGAAACTGTTCTTAACCTGAAGCACCACTCCTCCTCCTTGCTGCTGCATGATTTCTGTTCTCATCCTGAAGCAAAGTTCTTAACCCGAGGTAATATTTCTGGGTTAGCGGAGTCTGTAACCCGAAGCATATGTAACCTGAAGCGTATGTAACCCAAGGTACCACTGTATACAATTATTCTGGTGAGGGTTCAGTGATCAGGTGTTTCCCGGTAATTTTTCCTGATAAAAGATACCAACCACCACATAGCCCCCAATTTGAGAGGATGAAGTTAGAAAGTTTATTCAGAGTCTTGCTAATAATAAGGTAAAGATATGACACCCCCAAAATCTGTAACAAACTATTAACTGATGGGCTCCTGTACTTGCAGAGCTCTAAAATAAAGAAAAATAATAAATCTTTGGAAGTAAATTCTGTTAGAATCCTGGGGTAACATTAATGTTTCTTATTGCTAAACGCATTATTACTGGGGGAGCATGTAAGGCAAAAGCGACACAAGGAAGTGTGTTTTATCTTAGTGTATTTCAAAGATGTATAGAAAAGGTTCCAAAGGAAAAACAACATTTGTGACATCCCCATTGCCCTGGAGCAGGGAAGCTGGGGCTTGTGTGCATCTGCACTGCCAGGAGAATAAGATTGGCGGTGGCAAGAAACAAAGGGATACAGGGATATAAGGTTAGAAATATAAAAGAGGACTAAGATGACAGAGATTGGAAAGTAACAATTGGGAGTTGCTAGCTGAATTATGGACATTGGGATGCAGAGAGGGGGGGTATGGGGAAGTCAAAGGAAAGAGGTTTATGAAAATATGTTTGAAACTATTCGTGTATGTTTGTCTTTTTTGGTGTTTGTTTGTTTTTCTAAAAAAGTTTCTAAAACCAATAAAAATTTTATAAAAAAAAAAAAAGATTGGCGGTGGCAGTTCCACTGGTGCAACCTCATGGCTCCAACTTCACCAGTATCCCACCCTAGCCCCACCCAGATAAGCAGCAGTAACTGCCGTGTCAGGCAGGTGTCTCTGCTCCCACCCATCTGCTTCTACTATGTAACTGGAGATTATTGGGACTGAACATTCATCTCCTTACGGGGTCCTCGCTGCGAGATCACATTCACCCGGTGCTATACCAGCTGCACTGGCTCCCAGTGGAGTACAGGATCAGGTTTAAGGTGCTGGTTTTAACCTTCAAAGCCCTATACGGCCTAGGACCCTCGTACCTACGGGACCGCCTCTCCTGGTATGTCCCACAGAGGAACTTACAGTCTTCAAACAAAAACATCTTGGAGGTCCCAGGCCACAGGAGGTTAGGCTGGCCTCAACCAGAGCCAGAGCTTTTTCGGCTGTGGCTCCGATCTGGTGGAACGCTCTGCCACAAGAGACTAGGCCCTGCGGGACTTGACATATTTCCGCAGGGCCTGAAAGACAGAGCTGTTCCACCAGGCCTTTGGCCAGGGCACAGCCTGACTCCCTCCTTTGGCAATCACAGAACTCTAGCCCAATGGTTGCCATCAATTTGATTTGAATTATTTTTATAATGAAACGATTTTAGAATGTTGTATTATTTTATTGTTGTTAGCCGCCCTGAGCCCGGCTTCAGCTGGGGAGGGCGGGATATAAATAAATTATTATTATTATTATTATTATTATTATTATTATTATTATTATTATTATTCTGCATGGGGACTACAGATCTGTGGTCCCTCTGCATGAAGTCTTGAGTGGAGGAGGGAGAACTTGATACGGAGATGCTATTTTCAGCAGCCGTCTGAGGTTTCTTACAGCATTTTGTTCTTCCCTGGTGTATGAAGACTGCCAATCGCCTTTTCTCCCAGCTAAAATATGCCCATATTCTTCAGCTTTCTTTTTTTATATGCCATTCATCTCAAACTATTGATTGTCGTCATTTTTCTGAATCATCTTGTTAGCAGTTTAGCTTATCATGTTCTTCCTGGAAATTTAGCGAGCAAAACAGGATACTGTGATCAAGCTGGTGTCTTGAACAGCAATGAATAGGACAGTATTTTCGCCTCCTACACACAGTTGCACATAGTGCTTCTGTGAAAATATCCTAATATAGCCAGCACTGGCAGTCTTGTCTGTGGGGAGTCCTCTCAACTCACTTTCCCTGTTTCCCATCCTTCCACCACTAGGGTAAGGGAGAGGTGAAGGAGATGCTGCTTCACCACAATTGCCACACCATGAGAAGCAGGTGTCAGTATTGTTGTTGTTTTTTAAAAAACCTCCACAAATGTTAATACTTAATCTCACACCTCATATTTAGCCGAGGATGGGGCTTCTGCCTGGATGATGTACCCAAGAAGAAAGATCTAAAGCCCCCTTTCATTGCACCTGGAGTGATTTATGACGTGCACCACCAATGCCAGTTGCAATATGGACCCAATGCAACGTTCTGCGACCAAGTGGATGTAAGTTCAGTGTTGCTTCTCTCCCAACACCCCACATTTTATTTCAAGGTGGCAACATTAATCGTCTGAACCTAATGGAGAAATGGAGGAGGAAGGAGGTGGTGACAACAACCTGTATTGCAGATATTAATATTGTGCAGCTTGTAGCAATAGGATTTGCAACTGAATACCTTACTCGTGTAATCTAAAGTTAAACACCTTGTGACAGTGTAGCAGCTGCATTCTCAGTTAATTATCATCCCGTTAGGCACTCAGAGAGCTTTGCAATGCTTCAATGGAGTTTCCCAGTTGGCAATACACATACAGGCATATACAGAGTTATTTCCATGTCCATGTACAATTAAACCATTATATTTAACCACCTGCAAGGGCGAGACACAATTTAATTTGCCGGTATACTACAGATAGAAGGATGCTTAAAAAGAAGCTCACCATGCTCTGAATGTACTTTGCGTTCTTTTTGTGTTGCATCTCTATTCACCATCTCTACTGTTTGATGGTGCCCACGAGGTCACTGGTTCTAGCAGCTTTCTAGGTCTCTTCAGTGTAGCAGGGTTGGTCCTGTTGTTGTTGTTGTTGACATGCTGGCAATGAGTGGGGCCAGAGACAAAAGAGTTTTTAGCTTTGAAGGATTGCACAGCACTCTCTTTCTCTTAGTCCCACCTCATGTATCTCTTACTCCCTGTCTCTTTCTTCTTCCTGCTCCTCTCTCTTTCTTTCTTTCTTTCTCTCTCCCGCACACACAATAGAAGAGGAAGTGGTTCCCAAAAAGGCGGTCTGGAGGGCAAGTGCAGGACCTAAGCGTCCAGAGGGCCACATGAAATTAGGAAAGGTGCCACAGGTTCCTCACCACTATTTTCACAGAACGGAAAGAGGACCATTTCCAGTGTTTATTTTTATTCTATTTATATCCAGCTTCGGCTGGGGAGGGCAGGATATAAATAAAAATTTATTATTATTATTATTATCCCACCTTCCCTTCATGCTAGAATTGAGCACAGACACATCCAGGGGTTTGTAGGTGGTCTTCCACAGGCACTTGGCCAAACCTCGTCCTACTCTGCTTCATTAGAGTTGTGCCATGTGTCTTCAGGCAATGCCCTAGCACTTTATATTTTCTATTTCAGCATGTAGGGGGTGTATTTGTCTCCCACTGATTGTGAGAGCTCTTGCTCTTAAAATGCCAGACTCTTAGATAGTGACAGGGCATTTAATGGAAGCCTTACTTTCTCCTGCACAGTAGACCAAAGGGAATCTCATCCAGGCAAAACTAGTCCTAAGTTTGGTCTCTGTAGCTCAATCGTGGGACTAGGTTTGTACTGTGTACGCATTTGATATAGACTCACAGCAACACACAATCTGTCAGATGGCTATAACTGGCAGTGAAGTCAGATCAGCAAAATTCTAGAGGAGATCATCTACCAGGCTTTCTCCATGGTTACTAAACCCACGAGGCACAGCAGGTACAATCCTAGAAAGATATGTGCTTAGCTGAGAGGGAAAGGGAAGAGTAATTCTACAGCCAATGATGCTTCTGTTGCAGCTATGAAAACGCTTAATTGGGCAAGGTGTTGTAAAACTGACGCATGGTTTTCTCATCCTGTCATGCATGTGCCTGCAGTGGAAACATAAAAGATGCTTGCAGTTAAATGTGTAATTCCTCCCACCCCATTCCCACATAGGTTCCAAAGATTGCTGGCTTCTCCTAACTTTTTTATATTTGTACAATCTTGAGTCAGATAAAGTGCAGTGGGGCAGGTGGGCTTTCAGTCAATGCCCACATGTATGACATCATTTGAGTGACACACGATTTACCAGTCTCTTCAAGGCTTGATAAACTGTTGGGTTATATACAGAGAAGACCAGTGGGGTTGACTCTGTACCAAAGCTGAGCCCCAACTGTGGTGAAATTGTCTGGCTTCTCCTAACTGTGAAAAGTATATTCTTCAAATTGTCCAATGACTTTGTCATTGTTAGAGGTACACATTAATTCTGTAACAAATGAAGAGTTGAACCAAATGGTCCCATTTTCCCAGCGGAAGTGCAGCTGACTTCAATCTTTTTCTTTCCCCAGATGCCCTGAATGGTGTGTTGACCCAGGGCATTCTTGGGGGGGCAAGGTTTCTTGTAGCGTCTGCCATCTCTGCTCTCCAAGAACGTTCCAGAGTGGGAGAACTTCCGGGTATCTGGGAAATAAAATGGTGACCACCAGGAAAATGAAATGGAGGGGAGGTGGGAAACTCATGAGCACTGGGGCCAAATTGAATGCAATGAATGGACAGCAAAAGGAACATGAAAGTCCCATAACAAAAACAGAAATGAAATGGATCATTATTTATTACACGAGTTTATACACTGCTTAACTTTTTAAAAAAGAAGTCAGAGCAGTGTACAACGTAAAACAACAATCGACATGAAAACAATATAAATAGTGCATGCAGCTAGGGACGCACTTCAGGGAACAAATGGGGGAAAAAGCCTTAAGAGAGTGACTGAAGCTTAACCCAGTTGGCATTTGCCTGATATTGCTAGGAAGTGATCAGGCAGGAACATACGGGGTAAAGCAGTGCCTGAGATAACACGATCCCAAGTTGTTTAAGGCTTTGTACACTAACAATGAACTTTGATTGCTAGTCATTCTCACAGTACAGAGGAGCATTGGCCTTGTTCATAAGTGGGATGGAAGACTGAGGAAGATGAGGGAGCTGCATGCAGAGTCATGGTGGATTTCAGCTGTGACTTAGGAGGGCAGACTTCAATGTGCAGTTGGGTTTCCGTATTTGTCTTACTGGACTACGAACATCAAATTGCATAGAAAAGTTGCCTTAGAATATTGGCTTTCAAGCACTCTTAACAGGGAGCCCTTTCTATATTGATTTATCTGACAAGGACCCCCTGCTTGATTTGTTTTGCATTTCTGTTCTTCGGCTGCCCGGAATATTTGGCAGTGAATTAAAACTGCACACCAGCAAGAGGAAAACAGTAAAGCTTCTAGTGTGCGTCCTGGGGGGAGGGGTGAACCCAACTATAGACATGTCTAACTTATGTTATGTGGTGTAGTGGTTAAGAGCGGTAGTCTCATAATCTGGGGAACCGGGTTCGCGTCTCCGCTCCTCCACATGCAGCTGCTGGGTGACCTTGGGCTAGTCACACTTCTAGTCTCTCAGCCTCACTCACCTCACAGAGTGTTTGTTGTGGGGGAGGAAGGGAAAGGAGATTGTTAGCCGCTTTGAGACTCCTTAGGGTAGTGATAAAGCAGGATATCAAATCCAAACTCCTCCTCCTCCTCCTCCTCCTCCTCCTCCTCCTCTTCTTCTTCTTCTTCTTCTTCTTCTTCTTCTTCTTCTTCTTCTTCTTCTTCTTCTTCTGTATTCCCATAGCTCAAAAATCCCAGAATCCCCTGCAATGTGCAGAGGATGTGAGTTTCATGGCAGATGCTCGAATGAGTCATCGTGGCAAACGGGTCAGTGTGAAAAGTACTTTATGCCCTGAGGGTAGAAAATGTGAAAAACTCTACTTATACTGTATGCTTCCTTTTGCTCTTTATTCTAATTCTTCCATTGCATTTCCTATGCTTTAAAGCAAATAATTTCCTTAACTGGCATTGTGTGCATAGCGGATGAGTTATTGTTGTTGTTGTTGTTTATTAAACTTATTAGTCACTTGTCACCTGAATGTCTCCAAGTGACTTACGGTAAAGAAAAATATACAACTCATAATACCGTAGGGGGAAGGGGGGAAGAATCATGTAGTTGTAAGCCCTTGACAATACACCTTTCAGAAAAATAAGTGCTTGTAGCTCTTTGCTGTTTACCTCATTCCCAACAGACATGAGTTCCATTGGCGTGACTGTGCTTTTTATACAAAGAGTAGTTGAGAGCAGTGTCAGCAGTTCACAGCTCCAAAAACTACCAAATGTGGAAATTCATATTCTTGGCAAATGATAACTTCCACAAAAATGATACTGTACTTATTTTTCATTTCCACAAAAAACTAATGGGCACTAATGCTGGCTCCTGACTCATCCCATCTCGTTTTTGAGGGGGTTAATTGGGCAAGAAAGGTTTGCTTTCTCCTTCAATACCAATGAAATGCAAGTGTCTGTGTGGGTCCCCAATGTCCCAGGGGGTAGTAGCTGGTGCTTGACAGGAAATGAGGTTTATCCATTTCCTGTCTTCCATGACTAGAACTAACTGCAGAGTTTTGACTACTGGGAGTAGGGTAAAGTGCTACGGTTTAAGTAATAATTTTACTGATTTAGGAAGCATGATCGACAACGAGGGTTGAGAGCCTAAGGTTAGGTAATAATGAAGTTAAAATTCAGCTGCATTCTGCAGAATTTAGTTAGGTAGTTGATGAGTAAGTAAAACCTCACTCAAGGTTATTCTACTGGATCTCATTATTTTCCTCAATTCTTCCTACTTGCTGTAGCCAGCCTGGTGTCCTCCAGATGTTGTGGACTACAACTCCCATTGTGGCATCTGAATATAGACTGCATTTTTAATCAAGGCATATATTGGCTTATATCTTGATCAGGTTCCTAAATTAAATGGGCTTAGATTTTCAAATGTTTCATGCCAGCTGCTTAGAGAACCTCGGCAATGTTTTCCTCCTAGACAAGGGGCCCCTTGATTTATAGCAGAAAACAATTCTCAAAGTCGTAAAAAAGGGGGAATTACAGGCTGAGAGTGAGGGCACTGACCCTACATGTTACAGAAGATAAAAAAGGCAGAGATAAACATAATTAGGAATGAGTAAATAGTAAAATAATACCAATGTGCCTCCCAGTAAAATGAGCCAGATCTTCTTTCCAAAGGTTAAAAGGCCAAGAGCAATGGAGAAGCATCTAGCTGGCAGAAAGAGAGCATTTTTGGGAAGTCTTTTTTAAAAGCTGTTTCTTTCTTAAACTGAGAGAGTTGGAGGGCAATAAATGTTGGGAAGAGCTAATGGGAAAAGCAGCTGGCTGAGGGGGGGGTGTAAACTGAAGAGGCTTCTTTTGAAGCTGTTTTTTACTGAGTTCCTTTTTCTACTTTACAAAGGCCTTATTCCTTTTAAGAGGCTACCTGTGTTGTGTATTAAGTGTATTGGCATAGATGTAATTATGCAAAGGATTTAAGAAATGCTAGATTCTTATTTCATATAGTTGTAAGAGTTGTATTTATCCTGAAATTAAGTCAGCCACCAGCCTAGCCCCCCTGCCAGACAGGAGACGCCATCCAAGCAGTCCTGATATATAGTTGTCAGACATTTGTTTAGAAACCTTCAAATGAAGGAGATCTTTCAATGTTGATGTGAAACTCAAGATCCTTGACATATGTTTAAGATAAAAATTTAAGATTAACCATTTGTTTTAGAAGGCAATAGGGCAAGGAGGGCAAGAGGTGAGCTGGTAATTAAGATTCCTTGTTGAGACACATGTAAGATATATTACTACTTATTTGTCATTTATAGATGTAACAATATATAGCTCTTTGTGTTCCATATAAGGACAGGAGGATATGGGTGTATCTTTTTGTGATTGGTTATACCAATCAGCCAATAGGAATTTCAACCAGGCTGATTGGACAGAGGCAGCCACAGGAGGAGCAAAGGGGGCTGGATTAAGGGAATATAAGTGCTGGCCATAATGGCAGGAGGCCAGGCCAGAGCTTGGTAACCATATACCACTGTGCCTCTCATTTATTTGTCTGACAAATAAATTATTATTTTAATTTCTCTGTTGCTGCGTTGAACATTTCATTCCAGCTAAGCGTTAACCACAAGCAGGGTGCTACACCATCATCCTTGGCTGTTGGTGATGCTTGCTGGGGCTGATAGGAGTTGCCATCCACAACATCTGGAGAGCACCACATTGGCTACGCCTGCGAGCATCACATCAAGCCTCTTAAAGACAACCCAAGCTGAAATAGCCCTCTCAAAAAAACCAAAAACTCCACAATTCCCTAAAGTCTCAATTGTTTTTTCTTTACAACATTTGAGGTTGTCGTTGCAGAATATTTGCCAGACATTGTGGTGCTTTGTGAAAGGTTCCTGCCGGTCGAAACTGGATGCTGCGGCAGATGGAACGAGATGTGGTGAAAATAAGGTATCTGTCACAAGGAGAGACCAGGATGGGAAATTATGACTCGGTACCCGACTTTCTTTATGCTGCAAGAGCACAATACAAACAAAGTGTCATCCTTATAAAACATCTTTCATTTGCTATGTTTTGCATTTGGTCCCATTCAAATTGTTGCCTTTCACTCTGAAAGGCTAACCATATCAGATGGTTTTTTCATTAAGTTATCATTTTACAACTGCATTTATATCCCCAATCTGGAAGGCAAGGAAATTGCCTTCTTTTCAAATCAATGCCATCTCCTCCAGCATCAGGGAGTTTGCATGCCTAACTCCTGCAGATCAAATGAAAGATATGCTTTTGGAGTTTCTCCATAGCGCTGACAGCTAGATGACCTTCCTCTGAGCAAAGCAGAGCTGAGTCTCTAACCAAGCAACATCCCAGTAGTTGGGATAGTTCATTATTCTGAAATGTGTCCTGTTTCTCCAGGTGCTTGATTTGCAGCTCTCATCACCTTCCCAATTCAAGGACTCATTACCTTAACAAGCTCCCCGCTTCTTCAGAATACCCAAGCCTGCTCAGTGTCTCTAAGCAGGCTTATGGCTCGGGACTGATAGCATGTCATTTCTATGGAGTGATTCAGACATAACGCCAAACCAGAAACACAGTTTGCTGTCGCACTGAAAGCCAGCAAATGGTGGTTTGCTCAAACCTGGATTAAACTGTGGCAGAGTATTCTCAGGATCTAGTTATGTTTTCATTGTACATGTAAATGTTAATAATAATAATAATAATAATAATAATAATAATAATAATTTGTTTATTTAAGACATGCATACTGTTTTTTTTAAATGGGGCAACTTCTGTCTTACCCTGAACTGTAGGACTATGTGATTTTGTTTTGTTTTGCAAAAGTCTTTAACACCATTTTGCCTGATGAAAACGTCTGAAGAAGGTACATGTGACATCAAAGACCTCCGGATTTTTCATTTTTTAATGAAATTTTCTTGTGCTGATAAAGTATATGTACAGCATAAGTTCAAACTTGGGCATAATTGCTGTAATTTAAATAGAAATACAATACACCCCACCATAGTAAGGAAGACTGCAACTAGGTGACTCTGTGTGTGTGTCTGATATTGTGGGGTGAACTTTTTATGAGCTCCCACTTCCTTTAACCCAATTTGGACTAGACAACATTTCACATACAAGACTTCTCCAGACAGAGGACTGTAAAGTTGACAGGTAAGCCCTCTACACAGGGGAAGGGTTTAACCTTTTGCTCTTCTGCCAATTCCCAAGTGCAAATCTCCACTCACCACCCCCAAAGCTGCTATTGACTGTGGAGGGGGAGACTTAGAAGCACAATGCAAGTTCCCTGTGCAATTCAAAACAGCCCTGGTAGGGCGATTTAAATTGGGGATTTGGTAGTGAGGCACAGAGCTAAGCCCTTACCCCCTGCACCCAGCCTCAGTCTGAATTGGGCCCCTCTATGCTGGCTTTGCAGAAAAGAAAAGTAAAAGTCTAGACTTAAGAGAGTCTCTTGCTTCATATATATAGCTGGCCCTGTATTAGAAACGTCTACAATGTCAACTGAAAGTCACAAAAGCAGGAAGGTGATCTCTCTTGTAACACCAGTCTCCAGCAAGCTACTATGAAAGAAATGTGTTGCATGTCAATAGTGTGTTTGGGGGTTTTTTTCTTGACCCATTGTGTTTGCTGCTTTCTTGTCAAGTGGTGCTTTACAGGTGAATGCATAACTGTAGGCAAGAGCCCTGAAGCAGTGAACGGTGCATGGGGTTCGTGGTCATCGTGGTCGCACTGCACACGGACCTGTGGGGCTGGAATCCAGACTGCAGAGAGACAGTGCACTAGCCCAGAGTAAGTCTCACGCCTGGCAGTTTGCTTAACATTCGATGTTTCAAAATCTTGAAACCTAAACAGCTTGCATGTAGGGCCTTCTCGGTGGTGGCGCCCGCAATGTGGAATGCCCTCCCATCAGATGTCAAGGAAATAAACAACTATCTGACTTTTAGAAGACATCTGAAGGCAGCCCTGTTTAGGGAAGTCTTTAATGTGTGATGTTTTATTCTGTTTTTAATCTGTTGGCAGCCGCCCAGAGTGGCTGGGGAAACCCAGCCGGATGAGTGGGGTATAAATAAAAATATATTATTAAAATTATTATTATTATATCTAAAGCAAGGGTTGTTGTTGTTGTTGTTTAGTTGTTTAGTCGTGTCCGACTCTTCGTGACCCCATGGACCAGAGCACACCAGGCATTCCTGTCTTCCACTGCCTCCCACAGTTTGGTCAAACTCATGCTGGTAGCTTTGAGAACACTGTCCAACCATCTCATCCTCTGTTGTCCCCTTCTCCTTGTGCCCTCCATCTTTCCCAACATCAGGGTCTTTACCAGGAAGTCTTCTCTTCTCATGAGGTGGCCAAAGTATTGGAGTCTCAGCTTCAGGATCTGTCCTTCCAGTGAGCACTCAGGGCTGATTTCCTTAAGAATGGGTAGGTTTGATCTTCTTGCAGTCCATGGGACTCTCAAGAGTCTCCTTCAGGACCATAATTCAAAAGCATCAATTCTTCGGCAATCAGCCTTCTTTATGGTCCAGCTCTCACTGCAAGGGTAGGCAGACTTCAAACTTTGCAAGACGGTCTACTTTGGGCAGGTGTGGATTTTCTGAAAATGTGTCTGGAAGGCCCTAGGTTTACCATCCCTGGATTAGAGGGTCAGATTCGGACATGGAAGGCCCAGGTTTAGATCCACACACAGCATTACTAACCCTCTTAGCTTAATCTACCTCTCAGGGTTGTTATGAAGATTAAATATGAGGAGGGAACCTACATATGCCGCTGTGAGCTCCTTGGAGGAAAGGCAGGGTATAAATGTAATAAATAAATTCTTGTTTTCGAAACCCCTTTTGTCACTTCCAGGCCACAGTTTGGAGGGAAGTACTGCACAGGGGAGAGGAAGCGCTATCGCATGTGTAACATCAAGCTGTGCCCCAGAGCCTCACCAAACTTCCGTCAAATGCAGTGCAGTGAATTTGATACGGTTGCCTACAAAAATAAGTTCTACACGTGGATTCCGGTATACAACACAGGTAAGGTTAAATAAGTCGCACAATGCCTGTTTATTGAACTTTTGCTTTTTACCTGCGGGTTTCACTTTTGTTTTAAGCACTGCATTATTTTGATTGACAGGTTGCTTTGCAGATTGTAGTGTGAACCACTTTGTGAAAACCTGTGGTAAAAAGCAGTCTGCAAAAATTTTGGAAATAAATGAAGAAACTAATTTTTTTAATACCCATTAGTGATAATGAGTTTTTCACGTTATCTGGTAAAGCTTTTACATTTGGATTTTGACCGTAAACATTTGGATTAATAGTAAAACATCAAATGTTAAAAACTTCCCTATACGGGGCTGCCTTGAGATGTCTTTTAAAAGTCAGGTAGTTGTTTCTTTCCTTAGAGTTCCTATGCCTAATTTTTCTTTCGTTTGATACACAATGGGGAACTGCACAGAGTTCTTCGGACTCCTGCTTTTAAGAGTTGTTAATCTGGTTCTGATCTGCACAGATAAGGAAGACTTGCTATCTGCATCTGTGTAACATTAGATCACCATTTAAATGAAAAGAGATTAGTATTGTCTCTCAAGTCCACACTATACACTGAAAGCACTATTAGTGTCTGCATCCCAGAACTTATTCCAGAGTACTCTGCAAAGCACCAGGGTTCCACAGTGAATTTGCATGCGTTCCTTTTGTTGTTGTTTAGTCGTTTAGTCGTGTCTGACTCTTCGTGACCCCATGGACCAGAGCACGCCAGGCACTCCTGTCTTCCACTGCCTCTCACAGTTTGGTCAAACTCATGCTGGTAGCTTCGAGAACACTATCCAACCATCTCGTCCTCTGTCGTCCCCTTCTCCTTGTGCCCTCCATCTTTCCCAACATCAGGGTCTTTTCCAGGGAGTCTTCTCTTCTCATGAGATGGCCAAAGTATTGGAGCCTCAGCTGCAGGATCTGTCCTTCCAGTGAGCGCTCAGGGCTGATTTCCTTAAGAATGGATCGGTTTGATCTTCTTGCAGTCCATGGGACTCTCAAGAGTCTCCTCCAGCACCATAATTCAAAAGCACCCATTCTTTGGATATCAGCCTTCTTTATGGTCCAGCTTTCACTTCCATACATCACTACTGGGAAAACCATAGCTTTAACTATATGGATCTTTGTTGGCAAGGTGATGTCTCTGCTTTTTAAGATACTGTCTTAGCAAATAAGTAAATTGAAAAGGTTCTCTGAAGCTGGAAAGAGAGGGAAACTATTGCTCTGTTAATTCTGAGATCCAAGCATCTTGCAGATAGTGCCTGCAGCAGTCACTCAAAATTCCAAATGTGTCCACACACCTAAAAAAAGGTTGATCACCCCTGCCCTATGATCACTGAATACTTTGCATACATCCCAATATTTAAGTGTCTGATTAAGTGATTAGCTTCACTTTGTACTAGCATTGGATAGCGCAAGAAATTGTTAGATTTAATTACATTACACATATTGCCATGCTGCTCTAACTTCTGTATTGCAACTGCTGACACTTGGTTAAAAAGTACTTACTTATCAGAGAAGACATGTCCCAAGATTTTATATTACAGGCCTAGCCTCCCCTTCTTAAAAAAATAAATATTTAAGGCCTTGCGGGGAAAGTGGGGGGGGGGAAGTACCATATTTTTCGCCCTATAGGACACACTTTTCCCCCTCCAAAAATGAAGGGGAAATGTGTGTACGTCCTATGGGGCAAATGCAGGCTTTTGCTGAAGCCTGGAGAGCGAGAGGGGTTGGTGCGCACCGACCCCTCTCGCTCTCTAGGCTTCAGGAAGCTATCCGCAAGCCTTGGGAGCCCGGCGGCAGTTTCCGCCGGGTTCCCTAGGCTTGCGGATAGCAGCCTGCATCCCGAAGCCCGGGGAGCGCAGCGGAGCACACCCCGGGCTTTGGGCAGCTCTCCGCAAGCCTTGGGAGCCCGGCGGGAGTTCCCAAGGCTTGCGGATAGCAGCCTGTTCTGGGGGCTGGGGTCGGGGGAAGCTCAGGCTTCCCCCGCCCCAGCTCTGCGCCTGGGGGGGAAATAATTTTTTTTCTTTATTCCCCCCCCCCAAAAAAAACAACTAGGTGCGCCCTATGGGCTGGTGCACCCTATAGGGCGAAAAATACGGTATTTTTTGAGGAAGTTCTTGTAGCTGAAAGTTTGATACTTTCACAGGAGGAATGTTGAAGCATTACGCATTTGCAGGTGTTGATTCATTCAAATATGTGCAATGTTTAAAGAATGATAATTAAAGCTAATTATCATGGCAATTAAAGGTAATTATCATGACAATTAAAGCTAATCATGACAATTAAAGCTAAGCCCAGTCAAAGCCTGGAGTACCAGGTAACCTTCTCTGCAATTCCTGAAGGAAGCAAGGGCATAATATCAGCATGCCAAATCCATATAATTGTCTATTGACTAGTGTTGAGGCTGATCTAAAACACGCCCAGCCCGTTGACACAAAAAAGTCCAGTTTGTTTTCTGCTCTCTTCAGTGATTTCTTCAAAGCGGGGAAAACAGGCAGCAGTTTTTTAATTGTTTAGTCTGCTCCCGTCAGTAATTGTCCCCCCACCACTTTCTTTTCTATGTTTGATTGCCACAAAAATAAACCTCATACGCATTGTAAATGCCACACATTTTCATTTAATAAGCACACTGCTGGGAATGAACAGGAGGAGATCGTTTCTGAAGGCGTTTACAGAAATCTGTAAATATGGCAAGCACTTGTTGCCATTTTGGGAGCTGGCACAATGCCTTCTTTATCTAAAGTGGCTGGCATGGGACTCATCCAAACTTACCTTTTGCCCCATACAGGTCCGCACTTTACCTATCCACAAATTCTTTGTGTATCCGAGCACTTTCTTCTCTTCTCTTTTCTCTTTTTCGCTACTGCTTTCCCCAGGAAAACCTGCTCTTCAACACCGAATCAAAACAAACAGCAATTCAGGTTTTCTGTGGGTTGCCATTTGCTCCGATTCAGCAGTAAAGAGCAGGTTTTCTCAGGGAAAGTGCCAGGGCAAAAAGAAAAGCACTCACACAGAGACCTGGAAAGCTCAGATCTGCTCCTAGAAATGTGGAGCAAAGGTAAGCATGGGTGAGCCCTGGCAGTGACTCTCCATAGGCAGGGTTCTGTCCCAGCCCTACCCCAAAGTCAGAAGCTGGAGTCAGAAATAGAACAGCAATTTTTTAAAAAAAACTAGTGTCAGTGAAGTTAATTCTTTATTCAAAGAAACTAAGACAGTGAGAGCCTACTGAGCACGGCAACCCTTCCCAGTAGTCTTGCCCCAATGAGGCAGTTGCCACTTCCCACCTCTCTCTAAGGCTCCTTCCCCCATTCCTTCCCCAGAAGACTAAGGCTCCATCGTCTTGTCTCTCTTTGCTCTGCCCTCTTCATACCTCTGTACGTTCCGGGAGACCAGTGGAGAGGGGAGCTGGTCACAGCAGGAGGGGGAGAGTCCCTGGATTCTTCAGCAGCCAGCCTCCACCCTGCCTCTTGACCTCCCTCTGAGTCTGGACTGCCCTCTGCCACAGCCTCTTCCTGCTCACTAAGCCCTGTCACTTCTTCTGCTTCTGACACCTTCTCCTCCCAGCCTGCTCCCTCTTCTCCCTCTGACCACACATTATCATCTGTCAGGGGCTGGTCTGAATCAGAAGATGGGGGTATGCAATGGCAGGAAGATCAGCTTCTAACAGAAGAGGAGGGGACTACCCCCCCCCCATTTCCAGAGTCCCACGTAGCAGAGAGACAGGCAGATTCCGAGATTGCACAGTTGAGACAGGAACTGCCCAGCTTTGAGATAGTAGCTAAGCAACAGGAGGGAGGGACGCAGCCGGGCGATACATCAATCAACAATAGGGGAGAGGGATCCCTCCTTCCCCCAAACTAGGAAGTATGTGTCAGAAGCTTATCCTACACTCGAGTAGGACCCTGGTAGAGACACATGCCCGGCTGGCATGTTCTTTCCCTCCTGGTCATTCGTTCAGGAGCTTCGAAAGCTTTCTTCAGCCCAAACATCACAGCGCCCGATGCCAACAGACATTGGCACACTTAGGGATGCATGCAACCTTCTGCATGCAAACCAAGAGCTCTGCCCCTGAACTCTGGCCCATGCAGGATGATTGTAGCAATGATCCTTCTAGAATGTGCTGCTCTCAGATTTCTGCCACAAGTGTCTCTTAATGGGAGGCAGTGTCTTGCTGTCACCTGTTGCCAACTTTTAACTTCATTTTATACTTGCACCGCAACCTTGCAGTTGTGTGTGTCTATAGTAACTGATATAACTTTGGGGGTTTCCCTTCAGCTAATCCTTGTGAGCTACAATGCCGTCCTACGAACAACCACTTTTCAGAGAAAATGCTTGACGCTGTCATTGACGGTACGCCTTGCTTTGAAGGAAACAACAGCAGAGACGTCTGTGTTAATGGCATGTGTAAGGTATTGGGTATGTTTCCTTCTTTGAACACTTCATGGGACTACAGATTTTCAGGCCTCAAAGGGCCATCAGAGTCATAGTCTTAAATCCCTGTGCTGTTCTTTACGTTTGGGATCATTTTAACAAGTGATATCCTCAAAACTCATATACGCTGTTTTGAGAGTTGGCAAGAAGATCAGTGAGGGCCTAGGAATTGGGGGTTGGTTAGAACGGGGAAGGGGGTTGGGCGCTAATGGATATGGGGTTGATATTGGGGCTGCATTCTGAATTAACTGGAGTTTCCAAATAATCTACAAAGGCAGCATTACATTAGTTGACCCTGCGTATCCCAGATTTCTTGTTTGTTTACTATTTGTACTTATAGCCAGCCCTTCCCCAAATGTTCCCAGAATGGGTTACAAAGATGCCACTATTACATCAAGTACAATTTTGTATTAAAATAATAAAATAACACCACAAAGCTACCAATAACAACATAACAAAATGGCACCACAGAACAGCAGTGCACAGCAACACAACAGGAGGACAAATATCCACTCAGCCAAAAGGCTGTTGAGAGAACATGATATTGATGTGTTTCCTGTTAGTCAGGAATTTGAGAAATAACCATTACTGTAATAAACAGTTGGGTCTGTTTGCAAGTTTTCAGTGTGAACTGCCTTGAGCAGTAACAGCACCGCATGGTCAGTCTGCTTTTCCTTATCCCGGAAATCCATCAGGGGCTAGATTTGGTGGAAATTGGCCTTCAGCAATGGTAGTTACAAAATATTCCTAGGCTGGGCATGAAAAGAGCTATTCTCATATGATCTCAGGCAACAGCTTTGATAATGGCCCAGCTAAGCGAGTCTTTTTATCAATTGTCACTGCTGAGCCACTATGACCTTTGAAGATTCACTCATCGCTACAGATGATGACTGCTCCAAGTCACAAGAAGAAAAGGTTCCAATCTGTTTTCTCCCCAGTGAAGATGCCCTGACACATCTCTTTGGAAGGCTCTTCATAGGGCAACACTAATTTTGTTCTGTTTGGCACCGTTCTGGGGCGTTGTGCTTTGGAAAATGTTCAAGAAGCCAAAAGCGTTTTTGTTCTAATAGAATTTCAATAGCAGCTTGCTCAAGATCCCTTGAAATAAATGAATTTGATATTTGGGTGAGTCAATAAGCCACTTAAACTATTAATCCAAGTTAAACTGGATGGCTTTAAAGGAGGGTCGGGCAAATTAATGGAGGATAACACTAACATTGGCTGCTAGACGTGATATCTACGCTCTGCCTCCACGGTCAAGAAAGTCATGCTTCTGAATAACAATCGCTGGAAGTCACAGGAAGGAAGAATGCTCTTGTGGTCTGGTCCTGGTTTCCCACAGACATCTGGCTCCCCACTGTGAGAACAGAATACTGCACTAGAGGGCCATTGGCCTGATCCAGCAGGCTCATTCTACGTTCTTACAAGAACCGATTAGTCAATAAATACGAACCACTTGCATTTGCCAGCCAACAGTATCGGGGGCATTGTTAAGCACATGGAAACACTTGGGACACACAAGCCCATAACACAGATTTGTGAGTATGTGTGCATGAATTTGGCCATATTTATAGTTCCACAGGGTGGTTCTTAGTTTTCACATATATATTTAAGGGTCTTCCAAGATGGTGTATGTCGGCTGCCTCACACAATGCCAGCTGATTAAAAAGTTGCAAGTAGTTATACAAGTGTCTTTGAGGTCCATAAAAATTGCCCTTTGGTGTCTGCTGCAGAACTGGTGATTAAGAAGTGTCAGCGTTTTAATGGGCAGAGCCAGTTCCTGAGCTCCAGGGAACAAAAGGACGTTTTGTCAAGTGTCAAAAGGAATGATAAATGTGTTCCCTACTGATAGTCATTCAACCTGCCACAAATGCAGTTTGATATCATCAAGATGTACAGATATGGAAATGTTACAGCTGGAAATGAAAACGCATTCGGAATACAGGTGGAGATATGGAGAGATAGGATAGAGCAGTAGTTTACCATCCTTTTTCTTTTCTCCTGTTTATGGCTCTTTTTGCATCCCCTCATGTTATCCATGTAGCTGGGGCAGAAAAAAACTGCTGTTACAGCTGAGCAGGGAGGAAATCCTCTTTACCTTTTGTGATGGCTGCTTCAGGGCCAAACTAGATGTCATGTGTTTGTCACATGTTTCGCTCCTGAATGCAATATTTTCCCCCCACAGGGGTCGGGGGAGGGGGTCCATATCTGGACTCTGGTGGTGAGATGGGGGGAAAGCAGTCTTAAGGGGGCTCCATTCTAATGAGGGAAAATGACATCAGAATTCGCCTGCTGAATCAGGCCAGTGGCCTATCTAGTTTTCACAGTGACCAACCACTGGTCTGCAGGAAGCTTGCAAGCAAGGTCTGAGTGCCAGACCACTCTCTCCCTCTGAAGTCTCAAGCCACTGGTATTTAGAAGCAAATTATCAAAACTGTATGGGCATACGTATAATATTCAGAAGCATACTGTCTCCAACAGTGGAGGGAGAACATAGTCATCATCAGTGCTTTTTTTTCTTAAAAAATGTTTAGGGGTACTCTCAGTTTCCTACTCATATAGAAATACTGCCCCTCAATGAGGCCAAACTTAGATTCGCAAATTGTTTAGGGGTATGCGTATCCCAATGTGTCAGTACAACTTTCAACCGATGTCAGCGACTGGGCTCAGTAACTGGTTCTGCCCCGACTGGGCTAGGCGACTGGAGCACTTTCAGAGACCTTCCAGTCTAGGAAAACAGGTCCTAGTGCACTGGACTCACAACTGTGCATTGTGAGTACCAGACTCAGCAGAGTATAAATAACGCGGAAGCTAGCTGTGAAGCATAACTCCTTTTATTTCTAATAGATACTACAAACTAAAGAACTACTGTCTTGCCTGAATGTTACCTCTCCCACTCAGCCATCTAGTCACTACATAGAGAAGACTCTCTCCACAGACAGAGTCAGGCAGGAGCGGAAGAGTAGAAGAGCAGTTTCCGCCCCCTCCTTTCTCAAAACATCAGATCAGGAGATTCTTGCGATGGGAGGGAGTGAAAATATCAACACTACGTCCCCCCAGAAAAAAAGAACTGGCCATCATGGTTAGCAGCCACGGATAGCCCTATATTCCATGGTCTAATCTTCTTTTAAAGCCACCACTGCCTCCTGTAGGAGCAAGTTCCTTAGCTTAACTTTGCGCTGTGTGAAGGACTTTCTTTTGCATGCCCTGAATCTTCCAACATTCAGCTTCTTTGGATTTCCACGAGCTCTAGTGTTCTGAGAGGGAGAAAGACTTTTCTCCATCGTATGCATAATTTTGCACACTTCTGTCATGTCACCTCTTCTTTGCCTTTTCTCTAGACTTAAAAGTCCCAAATGCTGCAACCCGTCCTTTTAGAGGTGTTGCTCCTGCCTCTTGATCATTTGGGTTACCCTCTGCTAAATCCTTTGGGACGCAGGTGGCGCTGAGGGTTAAACCACAGAGCCTAGGGCTTGCAGATCAGAAGGTCAGCGGTTCGAATTCCCTTGATGGGGTGAGCTCCTGTTGCTCGGTCCCTGCTCCTGCCCACCTAGCAGATCGAAAGCACGTCAAAGTGCAAGTAGATAAATAGGTACCGCTCTGGCGGGAAGGTAAACGGCATTTCTGTGCGCTGCTCTGGTTCGCCAGAAGTGGCTTAGTCATGCTGGCCACATGACCCGGAAGCTGTACGCCAGCTCCCTCAGCCAATAAAGCGAGATGAGCGCCACAACCCCAGAGTCAGCCACGACTGGACCTAATGGTCAGGGGTCCCTTTACCTTTACCTCCTGAATCTTTTCCCAATCCACAATATCCTTTTTGAGCTGAGGCAACCAGAGCTAACACCTCCCTCCTCTCCTCAGGCTAAGGTCCCAATCCAGAGCAGCAGCGCCCACTGCATGCCAGCTATATGCGGAAGAAAAATCTTGCACTGAAATGCAAATCAGATGACCATGATAATGTGTAATTTGTTCATTAGTTACTGTCTTTAGAAGGCTACAGGTGAAGCCATGTTTTGAGTAAAACTGGAGGGAGTCAAGGTTAGACTAGTGGGCTTCTTCCCTTGTAATTGAAGCCTTGTTGCTCTGCAGCCTGGGAAGGTCAGCTGGACTCTTAAGATGTTTCAAATTGGCTTTGACCTGCAGAAAATACCTGCCACATGGACACACCTTAAGACATGGGAATGATGCAAATAGAGAAATAGTCTGTCAGGCATTTGCTGATTGGTTAGTGCTGATCCCATAATGAATGCAACCTATATTCTGAAAAAAATCGTGTCTTCCTTCAGACCATCGGTTGTGATTATGAGATGGATTCCAATGCCACAGAAGATCAATGTGGAGTTTGCCTGGGAGATGGATCCTCTTGTCAGACTGTGAAGATAGCCTTCAACCAAAGTGAAGGAGCAGGTGAATAATGCCTCCCCACCCCCACCCCACCTGCAGTGTTTTTCTGCAGCAATTTCAATGAGCAATGATGCTTGCTGACAAAACATACTCTGAGACACTAACACTCTGTCACCAAAGGAGAGAAAACGAACCTGTAGAAGGAATTGGGGGATGTGAAGCAATACTGAACGCAATATCTCCTTTATTAAGGAGGGCATATTGAATCCACTTGGATCAATAGGGTGATAAATATGATTGCCAGGTTGCACAGGACTGGACTGCATGACTCAGCCTCTTTGAGTACGTAGGTACAATTTCCAGAGGGGTAGCCATGACAATCTATTACAGGGAAAATTGCAGCCTTTGGCACCAGGCTCAAGCTGCTATCTGATACCCATTCACCTGAGAATTCGCCCCCTTGTGCCTTAATTCTCAGCAGTCTGTGACTTAGTATTAAGGCCTCATCCTGTGTTGCTTGGACTGGGCTGCAAGCAGATTTATTGTGGCATAAGCATTGGCGGACTATTTTGAGAAGTAGATGCTAGTCCGCAGTAGCTAAGGCCACGATAAATCTCTTCATCTCTACAGCATCACGTTTTATTAATTTTTTTCCCTTGTGAAAAGTTTCTTTTGTATCCTTACAAGAACTTTCAGATTTTTTCCTTTCAAGACCTTGGAGCGGGGGAAGAGAGAGCGCGCGAGCAGAAACCTTTGAGAAGTGGCGCAATAGGGAAAAGCTTTTCGTCAAACCAGAAGCATATCTCTATCTTTTTGTTTAATTTTCTAAGATTATGTTAGACTTTTATTCTTGCCTGTGGTTACACGGAAAGGAGAGCCGAATGTTAATGATTTCAATTTTATCATGCTGGACACCTTGTTTTATCTGTGAGTTTCTGGCAGCTTTAAAGTTCTGCAGATCCAGCCTTGCTGTGTGAATCCATGTTGCGATCACAGTCAGAGGCTGTACTTAGGCTTTAAAGACCTTGGCCATATTGAAGATAAACCTCTGAGCCAAAGCTATGTGTGCAGGCTCCCACCCATTGCAAATGTAGGTCTGAAAGGCTATTCTGTCGGAATGTCATAATAAGGTGATAATGGAGATAAATCATTGATCTAAAGCTGCCTGCAAAATTTAGTACATCTGCTCCTCTTTGATAATCCTTTCATTTTAAAAAAACTGCTGGAGGAGCACCTTCTTCTCTACTTTCTAATCAGCTGAATCCTGCAGGAAAGGTTTTCTGCTGAGGACACAGTGTATCTTGATTTCACTAAGGCTTTCGACAAAGTCCACCATGATATTCTTGCAGTGATGCTGGTAAAATGTAGGCTGGGCAAATAACTCTTATAGCTGGTTGACTGACCAAACCCAACGAGTGCTCACTTAATGGTTCCTCATCATCCTGGAAAAAAGTAGGGTGCCGCAGAGTTCTGTTCTGGGTCCGTTGTTGTTCAATGTCTTTATGATGAAAGAATTGAGAAACGTTTCAAAAAAGCTGTGCCTAGCTAATCCCTCCGGTACAGCCCATGATTAACAGCACTGAGTCAAGACATTTTGCCATCTCAGGCAAAAGACAATATGCCCTTGCCCTTTCATGTACAGGAATGGCAACTGATTCTCACTTCAACACTAGGCTGGTACGGGGAGTGAGACACAGACAGGAGCCAGCTTGCGGAGGGAGCGAAGTGGGTCTGGCTGAGATGGCCATTTCCCACAATGTTCTGGGGTAGCAGCAGTAGCTGGGTAAGTAGTGGTCATCAGTGGTGTAGCATGGGTTGCCAGTGCCCGGGGCCACGCAGAGGAGAGGGTCGAGAGGAAGGGGAATTCACACAGGAATTCCACTTTCAGGATGGGGCCCAATGCAACATGGCTGCATTTCTAGACCTCCAACACCCACCCACCCACCCCACAGAGTGTCTTTTCCTTCAGAACTATTTTCTTCATTCATATGAAGATTTCATACTCATGCATTATTTATAAAAACCACCTGAAAAGTGCATTGCTTTGCAGGAAAAAAAATGATCTGGTTGATACCCAGAAACTCATCACCTCAAGCAAGAGGTTGCCGGGGGCGGGGCGGGGGCACTTGGAGGGGAGGGGGGAGGAAATGAAAGTGGGTGGGATTAAATTTATGCTGCTTTAATTAAGTAATTAATGGATATTCATGCAATTAATCAACAAAGACTTTCTTTAAAAAAAATCAAGTGATAGCGGAAAAATTAGACTCAGTTGTTTCGGAGGCCTTTTCAGACATAATTTGTTCAAAATATTAAACCTGACTAGGCAAGATAAGAAGCACCCAATTATGCTGCAAACCTCTAGCTGCGTACCTGGAAATCAGACCTACCAAATTCAATAGGACATGTGTGATTAATGTGCTGTTATGGAATGTTCACATCAGATTTGTCCAAGGGCAGTAATTTGGAATTAAACCATAATTCGTTAAGTGTGCTGCTAATTGTGGCTCTGTGATGGATAAACAATAATTCCCAGGATTTGGGGTGAAAACTTGCAATGTGTGTTAAATGTGTTCTAACTGTAAGGCATAGATGTGACCTAGGCACAGTGCATTAATATTCTGTTGTTAAAACTGGTGAATGTTGCTTCTCCCCCCATAGGGTATGTTGATATTGGCCTAATTCCAAAAGGCGCAAGGAACATCAAGGTGCTGGAAGTGGCAGAAGCAGGGAATTTCCTTGCGCTACGGAGTGAGGACCCGGGAAAGTATTACCTAAATGGAGGGTTTATTATCCAATGGAATGGAGACTACAAAGTGGCAGGAACGATATTTCAATATGGGAGAAAAGGCGACTTGGAAAACCTCACTGCCGCTGGACCCACGAATGAATCGTTGTGGCTACAGGTGGGGGAACGTGTCATATGTGCAAGTGGCTTTGGGAAATTGCTGGGAGGTTTGGACTGGGCAGCTTTTATGAATCTGTGCCCTCTAAACATTTTTGGACCCCTGTTCTCATCAGCCCCAGCCAACAGGGGTCAGGGAGGGAGGAGAAATTCTAAGACTTGATTTCCAGACCCTTGATCATCTTGCCCTCCTCTGCACACACTCCAGCTTTCCAACATCCTTCTTAAATTGTGGTGCCCAGAATTGGACACACTACTCCACGTGTTGTCTGGTCAAGGCAGAATAGAGCGGTACTATTACTTCCCTTGATCTGGGCACTAGACTTCTTTCTGTTGATGCAGCCTAGAATATCATTATCTTTTCTTGCTAGGACTCCTCTTCTCCAAGGTCTTTCCCATGCAGTCTCAGATGGCATCTGCGTTCAACCACCCTCTGCTTTGCCTGTTTCATTCCTCCATGAGTTCTAGGAGACCAGGGGGAAAGGGAGCTGGTCACAGCAGGAGGGGGAGATACCCTGGTTTCTTCTCCACTCTGCCTCTTGGCCACCCTCCCCTCAGCCTCTGGAGTCAGAGTCTGAACTGCTCTTGGCCACAGCCTCTTCTTGTTCATTAAAGCCTGCCTCCTCACCTGCTGCCATCACCTCCTCTCAGTCTGTTCTTTCTCCCTCTGACCACTCATTGTCACCCCACCACCAACCCCCTGGCTCAGAGCCTTCTTCCCTCTTCCCCAAAGGGTTCCCTAGGGGTTTCCGTGGCTGGTACCTCCCGCCACTCCTCTGCATCCAGCCAGTCCCTGGCCAAAAACGATGCCTTCTTCTATCCCTAGTCAGGTATGATGGAAGATGCATTCTAGCAACACCTGGAAGGTGCTTTAGAACATACCTAAGCTTTCTTGCTTTCTCCATTTGTTTGCCTGAAACCATTTTGTGACCAAAATTGACAGTTGTTTCTTCTCAGCTCCTTTTTCAGGAAAATAACCCTGGAGTGAAATATGAGTATACTGTCCGTAAAGGCTGGAGCTCTGAGAATGATGTGGAAGAGCCAGAGTATTTTTGGCGATATGGAAGCTGGACAAGTTGCAGCGTGACTTGTGGGAGAGGTAAGCAACATTAGTGCTGTCGTTCTCCTCTCTCTGCTAGCTGCTTTGGCGTTAATTATCTTAACAGCGTGTTCATCAAGGAACAAATGGGTTCCTCAGAAGCTGGCAAACTGAGTTTTATTAACGCTTACTTTGAGCCATGTGCCCTGGGACATGCTGAATTTTTCAACTTTCAAATTCCAGAAAAAAGAGGGGTGCTAACTAGTTGTCACATGACTTAGGAATTCAAAAGGCATCTTGGTTAAATTAATATACCTAATTTAGTTTGGCTTGGTAAGTAAAATGTGTATAAAATTGCAGAGAAATCATTAAAAATAATTACCAAGTACTTGTATTTATCCATCCATCCATTCATTTAGCATTGCCTAACATTTTCAAAGGGTAAAATTAAAATTATTTGGTTTTCCAAAAGCTGTTTATGTGCCTCTTCATCAAACCAAGCCAAATGTTGTCCGGCGGCAAAAATAGCAGATTTGAATTCCTCACACCCCAAACCATATTTTTAAGACCTTTCCAGATGTTGGACTACAGTTCCCATCATCCCTGACCATTACTCATGCGTGCTGATTGTAGTTGAAATCCAACAACATCACCATCAGTTCCCCACTCCTGTGATAGATAAAAGTGAGCACTGCATTAGAGTTGACATTTTCTTTTTTTATTGACAGAGGCTCTGTGACAAAATTCTACCAGTACAGCTTTTCCTGACATGGTGCTTTAGAAAGCTCCCCCTGTTGAATTTCTGTCTGTTGTGTAGTTGTTAAAAATGCAGAGACTTTGGGAAGAAGGAAAAATGACACCCTGAACCTAAGATTTTCAGGCTTCTGTAGGCTATGTAGCAAGTGTCCAAATTTGTCAACATGTTCTGGGGGGGGGGGAGCGGGCTGTGGATGCAGCCATCATTCAGACCTGCAATTCCTGAGCTGTTCAGTTCCATTTTATTGATGTACCACTGCACTAATCTTGCTTTATCCTAGGCATGGTACCCACCCCCACTTCCTAGTCATTTCATAAGGATAATTGCTTAACTGCCCTAAAGGAAATCGCTTAATGTCATGTTAGGTTGCACAGCTGATTAAGACAAGTTGTGGTTTTCTGCTCTCAGATAAATTAATGAATAAACAATTAGCTGCTTGCCTGCTTCATGAGTACACTGAAAATTGGGCATTGCTTGGTGTTTCTGAGGGTCATGGAACTGATCAGAGAACAGCCCGAGGCTGCCGGAGATGCTGTGGTCGCACCCTGCATTGTAGATGCCGCAGTAAGCAAGGGGGCCAGACGGGATGACCAGCAACCCAGCTCTAAAATTCTGTGATGGCTCTTCTCTTTGAAGCCAGGCATTGGCTCTGAATGCAGCACGTGTCTCCTTCCTTTCTCGTAGGTTTCCAACAGCAGACGGCCCACTGTGTGAGAAAAGGGAGAGGTGTGGTGAAAAACCTGTTTTGTGATCTCGAAACGCAGCCCAGTGGGAAACAAAAGAAATGCATGGAAAGGGACTGTCCACCAAGGTAGGGTGTGTGTGTGTGTGTGTGTGTGTGTGTGTGTGTAATTTAGGGGAATATACTCATGGGTAATGATGGCAATGAACAACAGTCTGTCAGAAGAAATGTAGGCCAAACAAAACTCTGATAGGTAGACAGATGATAGAAGAAAGGACACATTGTTAAAAGAACTGATAAAACAGCTTAAGAAATGAATGAATATTGCCAGAGTGGTACATGCTCTAGTTATCTCCCGCTTGGACTACTGCAATGCACTCTATGTGGGGCTCCCTTTGAAGGTGACTCAGAAACTGCAATCCAGAATGCAGCAGCTAGACTGGGGACTGGGAGTGGCCGCCAGGACCATATAACACCGGTTCTGAAAGATCTTCATTGACTCCCAGTACATTTCTGAGCACAATTCAAAGTGTTGGTGCTGACCTTGAAAGCCCTAATCAGCCTCAGTCCTGTATACCTGAAGGAGCGTCTCCAACCCCATCATCCAGCCCAGACACTGAGGTCCAGTGCCGAGGGCCTTCTGGTGGTTCCCTTGCTGTGAGAAGTGAGGTTACAGAGAACCAGGCAGAGGGTCTTCTCGGTACTGGTGCCTGCCCTGTGGAATGCCCTCCCAGCAGGTGTCAGCAATAAACAACTATTTTACTTTTAAAAGATAACTGAAGGCAGCCCTGATTAGGGAAGTTTTTAATGTCTGATTCTGTATTGTTTTTAATATTCGGTTGGAAGCCGCCCAGAATGGCTGGGGAAACCCAGCCAGATGGGGGGGGGGGTATAAATAATAAATTATTATTATTATTATTATTATATTATTATTATTAAACTGGTAATAGCAGAGTGAATAAGAGAACAATGCATCAGCCAGCATCCTCTGTCCCAATTTCATTTCAGCGACAGGCCTGCTAGGTAGACAGCCCTCTAAGGCAGGGATGGAAGAACATATGGCTCTCCAGAGACTGGGCTCCATCATTCCTGACCACTGGCCATACTAGCTTGTGGGGTGATGGAAGTTGGAGGCCAACCATGTCTGGATGCTCACAGGTCCCCACCTCTGCTGTAAAGCAAACCACCATCTCTAACCCCCCTTTCCGTTTCTGCAACGCAGCCTGCCTTAAGGAGCAGCTGTCAGTGAACACTCAGAAAAGGCACAATTTAAGTGCTTAGTATTATCCATCTTCTGTCACAATTCCCCAGGTGTCTACAAGGAAACACCTGTTGACTTACACCTGACCTATCTCACTAGCCTGAACAGGAGAGGTGTTGTCAGCCAGCTGAGAGGTTAACAGGTTGTGTTTGGGGAAGCTGTGATGTGTTTTTAACACTCAATTGTGAGCCGCCCAGAGTGGCTGGGGAAACTCAGCCAGATGGGCGGGGTATAAATAATAAATTATTATTATTATTATTATTATTATTATTATTATTATTATTATTATTATTTCGCTGAGGAGAGAAGCATCTATGGTCCCCACAGTAAGGGAAAAAAGGTCTTTCAGTGCACAGTGATGGGCAGTTTTGACAACACTGGTCACTTGACAAACCCTCTCCACCTGCTCTGTTATTTAAAGGTAAAGGTAAAGGTACCCCTGCCCGTACGGGCCAGTCTTGACAGACTCTAGGGTTGTGCGCCCATCTCACTCAAGAGGCCGGGGGCCAGCGCTGTCCGGAGACACTTCCGGGTCACGTGGCCAGCGTGACATCGCTGCTCTGGCGAGCCAGAGCCGCACACGGAAACGCCGTTTACCTTCCCGCTAGTAAGCGGTCCCTATTTATCTACTTGCACCCGGGGGTGCTTTCAAACTGCTAGGTTGGCAGGCGCTGGGACCGAGCGACGGGAGCGCACCCCGCCGCGGGGATTCGAACCGCCGACCTTTCGATCAGCAAGTCCTAGGCACTGAGGCTTTAACCCACAGCGCCACCCGCGTCCCCGCTCTGTTATTTACAGCATGTTTGAACATTGAAGGGTCTGATTGGCAAAGCGAGTCATGCGACAGGTTTCCATTTTGGTGTGCATCTTGATAGCAATAATATCTAAAGATTCCAGAGAAGATATGGCATATGTGAGTTTACGAAAAGGTCAACTCCTGAGATGCACGGCAGCTATTTTAAATGCTTGACTGATGTGACGAACCTACCTAAATGTGGGCCATATTAGAAGGGACACTAAATATGTGGTTTGCTGTTGCCTTTCACTTTTTAATTGCCCATAGGAGGTATGGGGGGGGGGACTTTAATTGGGACAATGGTGCACGGGGACTTTAAAAACAACAACACTCTCCTCCTTCCCCTGCTGTGGTCTTGATGAAAATCACACCTCCATCACTACTTTTAGTCTCAGTGTGCTATCAGCCTCAGCTGAAACCAAAATGAACACTTTCCTCCTGGAGCTCAGAGGAGATTTCCATGAGTGGGTGCAAATGAGAATTCCTCTCCTTGCCCCCTGCTATTAGCAATTATGAAACAAAAGCTATAAGAGCAAAGACGCATTTAGCATCATTTCACAAACCCCATTGAATTTCAATGGTCAGTGAATATAGGATTGCTACCTGAAATCTATTGGTTTGGGGATCACCCAAGAAATCAGCATTTAACCATGCTAGCAGGTGGCACTGGGACGCGGGGGGCGCTGTGGGTTAAACCACAGAGCCTAGGACTTGCCGATCAGAAGGTCAGCGGCTCAAATCCCTGCGACGGGGTGAGCTCCCGTTGCTCGGTCCCTGCTCCTGCCAACCTAGCAGTTCGAAAGCACGTCAAAGTGCAAGTAGATAAATAGGTACCGCTCCGGCGGGAAGGTAAATGGCGTTTCCGTGCGCTGCTCTGGTTTGCCAGAAGCGGCTTAGTCATGCTGGCCACATGACCCGGAAGCTGTATGCCGGCTCCCTCGGCCAATAAAGCGAGATGAGCGCCGCAACCCCAGAGTTGGTCACGACTGGACCTAATGGTCAGGGGTCCCTTTACCTTTACCTTTTAGCAGGTGGCATGTTTTGAACTTTGGCATAATGTTGAGCCCAGAAGTGGCTTCTTTAGCTGAGAACATTCCTCCTAACTAACCTTGCTTTGCATCTGTCAGCAATTGATTTTATGACATATCCCGCTGATTTTACAGTTGAAACGCTGATCATCAGTTAGGGAAATTGCCACTTTTCATGCCTCCTTAGTAGCTATGCATACCAGTGTGACCAGAAGTGAAATGACCGCTGGAAGGAGTGTAGAGAGAAAAAACTCACTGCTGCATCTGTACCAGCAAAACCAAACACCTTCAACTCCCCCAGCTGCAATAAAACATGTCTCTCCTCTATTGGTCTCTACAGCAGGTGCTGTAACTCTCCAATGGCTGGACTTTACCCTCAATGGCACTCTCTTCCATCTTCTCCCAAGATATATCGATGCTGACAATAATAAGCAGTAACATCTCAGCAGGGTGATGTCTTTGACACCCCATGTAAATAATTTTGTAAAGTATCTGAACTATACAATGCAATGATTCTTCAAGTCTAATTACTGGGAAGCCAGCTGACAGCATAATCCGATCTGATAACTAATGGCCTCTCTTAATATCTGAGCGTAAGCCAGAGGCTCAGAGGAATTTTGTGGTTAGATTAAAAAGAGTGCTAGAGTCACCAAGGAAACTACATGTTTGCTCAGAAGTAAGCCCCACTAAATTAAATCAGATTCATTCCCAAGTCTCAGCCCACTGGATCTTTTGACCCTCAATTTTCAGTGAATGGGGCTTGTGTGGCAACACAGTTCCCTTTCACTGGCTCCATTTGGGATGTGAAGTATAACATTTGTGGGCCCATGGTAGGATGCACAGGCAGCAAATGAATCCCAGGAGAGATGTGTTGGGTTCAAATTAGGTCACAGCCATATGGATTACAGACAAAATAGGTTTGGCGTAGGCATTGGGCATGTATCCCATAATCAAGCAACCTACCTGCTGGTTGATAGACAGTTGTGGTTGACCGTAGGCATCCCCCATGGAACAAACCACTTCCAGCAGACTCCAGTGGCAGGGGGTGCTGTAGCCCTTCAGCCCCCAAGCTGGACATGAAGCATCACTTCCCAATATAGGGGATACCCCTATGGAACAGGCAGTGAGCTTTCCCGCCGTCTATCCCCACTAAGAAAGTAATGTAATTATATACATACAATTCACAGACTAAAAATCCCCCAACAATAGCAAATACTGCTGCTGCTGCTATTACTACTACTACTACTACTATTACTACTACTACAGTACTACTACACAGAGCCTAGGGCTTGCTGATCAGAAGGTCGGCGGTTTGAATCCCTGCAACAGGGTGAGCTCCCGTTGCTCAGTCCCTGCTCCTGCCAACCTAGCAGTTCGAAAGCACATCAAAGTGCAAGTAGATAAATAGGTACCGCTCTGGCGGGAAGGTAAACGGCATTTACGTGCACTGGTCTGGTTCGCCAGAAGCAGCTTAGTCATGCTGGCCACATGACCCGGAAGCTGTCTGCGGACAAACGCCAGCTCCCTTGGCCTATAGAGCGAGATGAGCGCCACAACCCCAGAGTCATCCGCGACTGGACCTGACGGTCCGGGGCACCTTTACCTTTACTACTAGTACTACTATTATTAATCTGATTTCCTTTCTGATCTGTGATGAACACAGAAATTGTGGTAATTTCCACTCCTGTTTCCATTTCTGATGGCATTCTCCAGTGTCCCTAATTGCTTGGCAGAAAATATAATCTATGACGCCTCTGTCCTTTTTGATCAATTTATTAAGAAACTACTTCTTCCCCTTTGCTGTGTATTGATATTTAGCAATACCGTGGGCTGGGGAGATCAATATGTAATTTCCCAAAGGTGTTTGCTTTTGAACAAATAAGTGAAAATCTAAGATTTCAGACGAAGGTCAGTACTGTCACTGTTTTCCAGCAATGCTACTCCTATCCTCTGGACATGTAATTGGGAACGGCAGGTGTGCAGTCAGAGGGGATTAAAGGGCTTACCAGCTCCAAGTTAATATATGGGGAGGATTATGTAGGCTTCCTAGAAAATGTCAAAGGTGTAGACTACAGTAATTAAACAAGTATGCAAAGGACCACATTTTGTTTCCCATTGCCAGCTGTCCATCATTCAGAAATTGTTTGTCCAAGTGAGAGAGAGAGTTTGTTAATACGTAAGTTTCTAAACATTGGTTTTCTTTTGTCTGAAGGTTTTTTTGAAAATAGAAGCACAGAAACAGAAAAGATAACTGGGCATCTGCTCCCAATTAATCAGACACCAGGTCCTCTTCAAAGCAGCTCTTTTGTCATATAGGACGAGGACTGTAGCCTGTCTCGCTAACTGAAGTAGCGCTGAAGTCTTGCACTAGCAAATTGGTGCAAACACACACACTGGGTTGTGCTTTGCATGCCATTTTCAGAATGTGTTAGAGGAGGCATACAATCTCCATTCTGAATAGCAACCATCCATGCAGAAGTAATCATGGGAGTTTGTTTGATACATAACGGAGGGGTGGGGAGTTCCAAAGGGTAGATGCCACTATGCTAAAGGCCTGTTTCCTACATTGTATATCACATACTTCCTGTTGCGATGGTATCTACAGGAGGCCCTCTCTTGCAGATCTGCAGCCATCAGATGGATGTATAATGGTTGCAATGACCTTCTAATGTTGGTTCTTGGGTTTGTTTATAGGAAATATTTCTGTACCACCACATTGTGTAACATCAAGGTGGTGTACAACTATTAAGCATAGAACATCCTTTAAAACAATTCAGGTCATCATTAAAGTGGCTGGCTAATTAATTGAAACAGCTGCAAAGGCTTGTGGGTTGACATAAGAAGTTCTTCTAGAGAGGCCCCAAAGTCAAAAGTAGGGATGACTCTACAGGAAGAGTGTTCCATGTCATGGGACCTGTGGTGCTAAACGCCTGACTTCTGGTGGAGGCTAGCTGGCCGCTGTAACTCTCAGTAATTAAATCTTTGCTCCCAGCTCTAAAATGGGTATAATAAGGGTCTGTTTCCAGGTGTGGTTATTGTGAGTGTGAACACGATAAAGGTAAAGCTAAAGGGACCCCTGACCATTAGGTCCAGTCGTGGCCGATTCTGGGGTTGCAGTGCTCATCTCACTTTATTGGCCAAGGGAGCCGGCGTACAGCTTCCGGGTCATGTGGCCAGCATGACTAAGCCGCTTCTGGCAAACCAGAGCAGCGCATGGAAACGCCGTTTACCTTCCCACCGGAGTGGTACCTATTTATCTACTTGCACTTTGACGTGTTTTCGAACTGGTAGGTTGGCAGGAGCAGGGACCAAGCAACGGGAGCTCACCCCGTCGCAGGGTATTCAAACTACCAACCTTCTGATTGGCAAGTCCTAGGCCCTGTGGTTTAACCCACAGTGCCACCTGCGTCCCATCGTGAACACGATAGGACGTCACAAATAAAATATGCTATGTGTATGATAGACAATAATGAAATACAGGCAACTAATGTTTTAGGTGCGACCGATATGTGCACAATTGTGATCCTGCACAAATTGGGGTTGCCTGTACTTCTGCTGAGCAACCCCAATTTGTGCTGAGCGGATAAGAGTTTGCCTTGATGCAGTTTCCCATAACCCAGAGGAGGAAAAATTGCAAGCCTGGAACATAACATTTAAGCGATATACTCTTCTCAAAGTTTCCTTTGTATTACTAACGTTCATTCTCTGGTTTAGCATGCATGCCCTTTTTGACGTTCCCCAATTCTTTTTGGCTTGCTCTGAAGATGGTGGGCAGGAGAATGGCAGAAGTGTTCAACCTCCTGTGGCCCAACAGGAGAAAAGAAACGGACCGTCCTTTGCATCCAGACAGTGGGATTGGATGAGCAAGCTTTGCCTGTTGAGAAGTGCAAACATCTGCTGAAACCAAAGACTTACCTTTCATGTAACAGAGATGTTCTGTGCCCATCAGACTGGACTGTAAGCAATTGGACTGAGGTACGTTCACAACACACTGTAGTTGTATGTGTTACATGCTCAGACCTCGGTCTTTTCTTAAAGAGCTCAGAGCAGCGTATATATCCCAGTGATGCCTCATTCTTGGCACAGCTTCAGCAAAAGGAATGCATCGTGTGCCTTCCAGACCATTCTCATGGCCTATGAAAAGACCTATTTGTCTATTGCCCTTGAACAGCGAACAAACAAGCCACAAAGTCTTCCATTAACCACTGTTTCCCATTTTCTCTAAACCAGGAAACTGTGGTTACCCTTTCTGGAACAATCCAAGATATTACACCATGTTTTGAAGCTGATTTGATATCTTTGTTTGTTCCAAAGCAGCTAGCTGCAATTTCCCAGTTTGGAGGAAATGGGGAAACTGCTGTTAAACCAGCCAGGTGGGGGGTGAGTAAAAGCCTTGATCATTATCTTGACTCATTAAGATGAGATGTAACTTTCCGAACGAACTCACAGAAAGTCTTGGCAGTCGTGGTTAATGTAAAACTTTCTGTTGCCTCCTGCCCTATAGAATAAATAAATAAATAAGTAAGTAAAATTAAAACTCTATGGCTATAAGAACCGTTTACTTCCCCTTGACTGTGGAATGTCAGATTTTGCAGGCTCCCATCATTACAAAATCTTGGTTTGATTTTGCTGTGGTTAGTTACTAGCAGGTACGTAGCAGGTGTGTTGCTTCTGCCCTCAGTACCTTCAAGCTGTTTTCTCCCGCCCTCCTGCAAAGAATTAAACTGAAGGATGAGATTGGATTTGTGTACCAAAATTCCTCTGTTGCCCATTTTGTATGCCCCATCAACTCCCTCTGCTTTCTGTACAAATGAAAACGTGACGCTACTGTTAATTGAATTAAACATGGGTTTGGTTTCAGCTAATTTTGTTGATGAAGCATAAAGCCTGTATGAATTACTGTACTCTGCTTTCAACAGAGCTGTGCCCCAGTTGTCTGTGGGGCAGGTTTGCATATGAAGCGACAGTTTGTGTCTGCTAAAAAGTAGTGCAACCTGCGCCCCCCCCCCCAGCAGCATAGACAAGATAGCAAAATGGACACCAAAGATCATAGGGGTTGCTGGGCAAGTTAAAATCCTCCTTCATTGTGCAATGTTTCATTTTTCAATGTGGCTAATGAAAAGACAGATAACGGCTTATTTACAAGCTTAGTGCGGTCTGCATGTGGAGCTGTCTGAGACTGTGGCACTTTTTCTCTCTTTTTAAATTTCTTTTATTGAAACTTTTCAACATGCAATACAATAAAAGCCAAACTAATCTAAATAAAAAAAGGGGGGGAGAAAAAACATAATATGTACAGTGGTACCTCTGGTTGCGAATGGGATCCGTTCCAGAGGCCCGTTCGCAACATGAAAAGCCTGCAACCTGAAGCGCCGTATCTGCGCAGGTGCGCAGCGTGATTTGGTGCTTGTGCGCATGCGCGAAGCGTGATTTAGCACTACTGCGCATGTGCGAGCAGCGAAACCCGGAAGTAACCCTTTCTGGTACTTCTGGGTCACCGCGGGACGCATGCTGAAAAAACGTAACATGAAGCAAACGTAACTTGAGGTATGACTGTATAACAAACACGCAAGAAAGACAACACAGAAAAAGCAGAAGAATAAAAAGTAACAAAGTCCTCTATCCGAGGTGCATCTTTGTTAAAGTTTGTGGGTTGTAAATCCTTTGACCCACTGAGTCTGCTGCAACGGCCCTGCAATAAATTTGATTTATTGCCACTCTGACAAACTCCAATAGTGCCCATACTCTTCCACTCCGGGCGCTGCCACTCTTCTAAGTTGCCGGATAATAGCAGAGTTCACACGCAGCGTAAAATGGCTTCTCTGTGTCTTTGTGGTGTCTTCAATAACTCAGCTCGACACCAGTGCTTCTATTCTATAACTCTTTATTTAGAAGCATAACAAACAGAAAAGAAAGCCTACAGAATCTAGCTGCATGCTTGCAGCTTTCTGCCTCTAACAAAAACGAGACTACCTTGCTCACATTCTCAGACAGACTGCTCTCCAGAGAGAGCTCAGCCCCCACAGAGCACAGATCAAAGGAAAATGCCCGGGTCATGTGGGCAATGCACCCAGTGAATCAGAAAGCTTCCTGGAGTGTTAACTCTTGACTGTCCAGAACCACAACAATCTTAACCCTTGCCCCCCACAAAAGGTGGTGGACCTTCCCAGCTCTCACTGGAGAGCTTCCCTTTCTTCTCCCAGCCTCCCACCCTGGGAGATCTTCCTTTCCCTGCCTCTCACGAAGGGTCCTTCATCATCTGTCCATCACCTTCCTGTGTGGAACCTCATTAACTGAGTAGAGGACATCAAAAAACAGAACAAAACGTGAGTATATGTAGAGTTAACAGAAGGGGGGGGAGCTAGAAATCAAATCAAATAAGAATAAGAATAAAGATAGAAGATAGAAATAAGGAGGACTTCCAGTTCTTCATCTACCAATTATGTAAATAAAGATTATTCTTCAATCCCAGGCATCTTAAGTTCCTTCATTCTTCTTGCCACACAAAAAGTCTCTTCGGTTGTTACTCTCTCTAAAGGTCAAGCATAGTCTTCTTTCTCAAAGGGTTGTAGACACAAGACCAAATACAGCCACTGAACTGCTTACGGGTGTCAGGACCGGCTGGGTCTGTGCAAGTATGCATGTATGCAAGTGTACAAGGTGAGATTTGGGTGAGATATCTGAAGAAATGTTATTTATTTTGCAGTGCACGGTAACCTGTGGTGGAGGTATACGGACTCGTAACGTCACCTGTACCAAGAACAATGGAGAACCATGTGATATTTCAAAGAGACCCCATTCTAAAGCTCTGTGCGGCCTCCAGCAGTGTCCATACTCCAGAAGATTGCTGATACCTAATTTCAAACTGCATGGTGGAAAGATAATCGGGAGAACTGGAACAGATCCCAGAAAAGGCCCTGGGGTCAACTGGCCAACTACCAAACCAAGCCCAAGAATCCTTACCACAACAAAAGGACTTGAGCCCAGAAATGTTACTTTGATGCCTACATCCTTAAGCTTTGCAAACTCTTCCCAAAAAGAAAACTTGGGTGTAAAAACATTACAAAGTAATTACAGTGGGTCAGACATTCCTAAAAATTATCCCTACGTATATAGTGAAGGCAGCTTGCTGCAAAATAGTACTTTCAGGCCTGTTACAAATAATTCAGATGTTTTGAATTCTACAAATGTGGGGAACATATCCCCCATAATACCATACAATTATTCAGACATTGGCTTTATAAACAGGGACTCCTTTACCACTAATCCCAAGTCTTCGACTGTAACCCCCAGGTATTTAATGGAAGAATCTAGTACAGTGTCTAACGGTACAGATGGAGAAACAAAAAATAAATCCCAGAGCAAATGGCCAATGAAAGGTTCTCCTACTGCCATCACTGATGGTAATACATCAAGCAACTTGCCGACAGATTATCACGCAGACAGTTTTAGACACATTTCTGTTACTCCGGTAGCAGAGGTAGGAAATTCCATGACAACGATAGGTCTCGGAGGCCTTGTTGTTCAAATAAATACACCTGCAAATACCACAGCACATCCTGTCACAGTACAACCAGCGGTGTTAAATGATACTTCAACAGACAAGTCTGCAAACAGAATGAAACCAACATCATCTGTGGATGAGGCATCTACTTATGCCACAGAAGGTCCATTTCTGCAAGATACCGACATGCCAAAGACCTGGGATGAAGCTTCTGGGAGAATGTTGTTGAATGACTCTGAGCCAGAACATCCAGTGGAGTCCAGGAACTCACCCGATGATGCCACCTGGTTGGTGGGGAACTGGAGTGAGGTGAGTCTTGAGATTTCATCCTGTTGACTATAGTCACTTCGCTGCCGCCTTTATCATTATTTCAGCTGCATTCCTAATGAAAGCAATTATCTTTGCACAGTGTCTATAAACCAGCCTTTAAAGGCAGAGGGCCTTCTTGGTAGTGGTGCCCACCCTGTGGAATGCCCTCCCATCAGATGTCAAGGAAATAAACAACTATCTGACTTTTAGAAGACATCTGAAGGCAGCCCTGTTTAGGGAAGTTTTTAATATTTGGTGTTTTATTGTATTTTTAATATTTTGTTGGAAGCCACCCAGAGTGGCTGGGGAAACCCAGCCAGATGGGTGGGGTATAAATAATAAATTATTATTATTTCTATTACTGTCATCATCATCATTTGGGCTTCTGCAGGCCCATTTTATCATTCATTCAAGATGTGGTTGAACTGATAGAAATGTGAGGAGGCCGTGGTTTCATACAGTAGCAATTAAATCCCGAGGCATAAATGAGTTGCTCTGCTTCAGGTGTGGGGAACCCTTTGCCCTTCTGCTGTTGCTGAACTACAACTCCCATGATCCCTAGCCACTGGCCATGCTTGATGGGAGCTGTGATCGCTCACCTGCAATTTTTCTCATATTGACTGTTTTGTACCAGCCAGCCAGTTCTTTGGCTGCCAGCTTTTAGTTATGTATTTTGTTTTGTGGTATGTGCCAGAAGCAGCTGGGGTGTGTGATGAAATGAGCTTCTTTTCCCATTTACTCTCTGCTTTCCTGGGCTTCAGATGAAGTGCTAGATTTGCATAATTACAGGTAGGTAGCCATGTTGGTCTGCTCTAAAGGTAAAGGTAAAGGGACCCCTGGCCATTAGGTTCAGTCGTGGCCGACTCTGGGGTTGCGGCGCTCATCTCGCTTTATTGGCCGAGGGAGCCGGCGTACAGCTTCCGGGTCATGTGGCCAGCATGACTAAGCCGTTTCTGGCAGACCAGAGCAGCACACGGAAACGCCGTTTACCTTCCCGCCGCAGCGGTACCTATTTATCTACTTGCACTTTGACGTGCTTTCGAACTGCTAGGTTGGCAGGAGCAAGGACTGAGCAACAGGAGCTCACCCCGTCACGGGGATTCGAACTGCCGACCTTCTGATTGGCAAGTCCTAGGCTCTGTGGTTTAACCCACAGGGCCACCCGCATCCCTGGTCTGCTCTAGTCAAAACAAAATTTAAAAAATCCTTCCAGTAGCACCTTAGAGACCAACGAAGTTTGTTATTGGTATGAGCTTTCGTGTGCATGCACACTTCTTCAGATACACACTTCTTCTGTGTATCTGAAGAAGAGTGCATGCACACGAAAGCTCATACCAATAACAAACTTAGTTGGTCTCTAAGGTGCTACTGGAAGGAATTTTTTTATCTTGCTAGGTTTGCATCTTAGCAATGTGATTAAAAACATCAAGTCTCAAAAGTCCTTTATTTCTGTTTTGTTTTTGCAGTGCTCCACCACGTGTGGTGTGGGGGCATTTTGGAGAGTGGTGGAATGCAGCACCAAGAATGAATCCGATTGCCGGCACACAAGAAAGCCTGATCCTGCAAGGAGGTGTTACGTCCGCCCGTGTGCCCAGTGGAAAGCAGAGGACTGGAGCAAAGTAATGGGGCTTTGGAAATGAGTCTTTCCAGTTTCCAGAGTCTTTAAAAATTATTATGATGTTAGCTAATCTGGCTTTTAGAACTGGAAGCGGCTTCAAGGTGGGAAACTCTCCGACTCTGATTCAGAGAACCAAAATTGCTGAAAAGTGCCTGGTTGTGTGGTGCTCTTTCCTAAAAGTGTTATCAAAAACCAGGCAGTAATTTTGTGCAAATCCATATTGCAGCCTTGCTTTATCCCAGACAAATCCCATCTTTTTGGGGCCAACGTGACTGATGCTTATATCATTAAGGAAGAAAGTGGAAAGGGAGGCTTAATCAAAAAAGATTGCAGGTCAGGATCATGAATCCAATTACGCATCTAATTTTGATACAGATGCTTTTCTGTAACAGCAGCCCACATCATACCAATTATTTTTACATGGACTCACTTTCTTATGAGCCAAAATTTTTTTTATTAAAAAAATACAATTTTCTTGATTATTCAAATTGCAGCTGTTTTTCTCATCATAAAACATTGCTTATTATTATTATTCCAGGAAGCTGGTCAAAGGCACTATCTGATTATGACAAGCCAGGAATATTAAGTGTGGAAACTTAAGGTAGTCTACTTTCTGAGGCAGGATCAGTGTTGTTGAAAGAACTGAAAAGTTTCCCTTCCTCGGTCCTTGATCTAAGTTTTGGGCCCAGTATCATATTTTCCTTTTTCAGTCTCACAGAGGTGGGGGCTGGATAAAAATCCAACGGGAAGAGAGAGATTGCCCAGAACACTTTTTTAGAGGAAGTTGCCTTTCATATGAAATAATAAAACAATGAACAGGGTGGTGATACAATGACTACTGCAATCGTAGTCTATTGTGTCTGCAATTGTTTAAGATAAAACCTACTGGGGGAAGAAACTACCGTATTTTCCTGTGTATAAGACTATGTTTTTCCTCGTTTTTTTAAAGTTTGAAATTGAGGGTCGTCTTGTACACGGCATATTTAAAATATTTATTTCTTAATTTTGGGCTCAAAAAATAGAGGTCATTCTATACATGGGGGCATTTTATAGACAAAAAATACGGTACTTTTGCCGTTTTTATGGACGTTTATTGTTTTATTTTAGGGACGTTTATTATCACCAGTGCAAATAGATAAATAGGTGCCGCTGTGGCGGGAAGGTAAACAACGTTTCCATGCGCTCTGGTTTCCGTCACGGTGTCCCATTGTGCCAGAGGCAGTTTAGTCATGCGGGCCACATAACCCGGAAAGCTGTCTGTGGACAAACGCCAGCTCCCTCGGCCTGAAAGCGACATGAGCACCACAACCCCATAGTCATCTTTGACCAGACTTAATGGTCCAGGGGTCCTTTATCTTTTACATTACTCCTGATAGTGTGGGAAACCCATTGCATATTCCCTTGTAGCTTACAGTAGAAGAGCAATGGCTGGATATTCCTAGAAGCTGCCTGTCCGGCAGCAGCCTGCGAGAAGGTAACTGGCCCAAGTTCACTTGGGTAACTTCATGCAACTTCATGCCAATTGGGGATTTTTAATATTTCTCATGGGAAGGGCTGCACTGCTTACCTGGCTTCCTGACACTGCCTGTTATTGAGATGTGCCCACCATTGTGCCAGCACTGCGCTGCCCTCTCTGCTACTTCACCCTGTCGGTAAGCAGCAGCGACCCCAGCATTGGGAAACCAGGAAAGCAGAACAATTGCTACTGGATTTGGACCTAGGTTTCCCTGCACTTCCTCCATCACACTAGGCCTGTAGAGCAGTTGCCCGCAGATCCCTGCCAGGGCTCTCTGACACTGCAGAGACCATCTCCTTCTTGTCCATCTTTCTGCAGTGCTCCTCCAGCTGTGGAGGCGGTTTCAAGACCCGCAGTGTCCTTTGCCTCGATATTCGTAGCAACAGAACCCTGAGGCCGTTTCACTGCCAGTTTGCAGGACGCAAGCCACAGTTAAACATCAGCTGTAACACAGAGCCCTGCTTCGAGTGGCTGGCGGAGCCCTGGAAGGAGGTAGGTTGTCTCTACGGCAAGCTATTAGGCTGAGTTATTAACTGCTAATTAGGGCCACCACCTTGCCAACAAAGGTCTATATAGTTAAAGCTATGGTTTTCCCAGTAGTGATGTATGGAAGTGAGAGCTGGACCATAAAGAATGCTGATCGCCAAAGAATTGATGCTTTTGAATAATGGTGCTGGAGGAGACTCTTGAGAGTCCCATGGACTGCAAGAAGATCAAACCTATCCATTCTGAAGGAAATCAGCCCTGAGTGCTCACTGGGAGGACAGATCCTGAAGCTGAGGCTCCAATACTTTGGCCATCTCATGAGAAGAGAAGACTCCCTGGAAAAGACCCTGAGGCTGGGAAAGATGGAGGGCACAAGGAAAAGGGGACGACAGAGGACGAGATGGCTGGACAGTGTTCTCAAAGCTACTAACATGAGTTTGACTAAACTGCGGGAGGCAGTGGAAGACAGGAGTGCCTGGCGTGCTCTGGTCCATGGGGTCACGAAGAGTCAGACATGACTAAACAACTAAACAACAACAACAAGGGCCATCACTGTGACGTGCCGCAACATTATGTGCATTTAATCTCAGCGGAAGGTGCACAGCTATCGCCAAATAGCTCTTCAGTTCATCTTGGGGCAGCCAGCTCATTTTTGACCTATAACTGCCTGAGCCACAGCTTGAGTGGTCCAGAGCTGCCACCCCCAGCAGCCCAACAACCCATCAACCCCAGGCCTTGCGTGGCACCAGTGATATTGCCACCAACCTTTTAAAATCACCACGCTTATATAAGAGACAGGAGAAAGGAAAAGAGCCTGCCAGATTTGGAAGGCTGGCCGGATGAAAAAGGGCCTGTACTGTTTGAAAAGAGAAATTTAGCATGCACAACTTCATACCCCAACACTGAGAAAGAAATGATCATGACTGTGAATGGGGCTCAATGGATCGTTTTGCCCCTCCCCTGCAAGCTTGCTTCCCCACCTCCCCACGAAGGTGACTTCCTTCCTCCACATCCAGTGCAGAAAAGCAGACAACATGCCTCTTAGCAGGCCAGTAATTTCTTTTTTCATGCCAGTATTTTTTTGTAGGCAACTTAAACTGATGGAATATGTGCAGTTTGCGGATCTAATGTATAGAACAAGAGAACAAGAAGAACATTCATTTAAAGAAGATTGGAATATGTTTATTGAATATATGGTGGGAAATTGTGTACACTTGAAAACACTGGCAGCATTAAGATAAATTCAACAGTATAAATAAGTTTTGATGGAAGTAATAATGGATTACTGAATGGTTTAGATTATATAAAAACTGCAGGAATTTATGCTGTGTGAAATGAACCACAGAAAGAGAAGAAGGGAAGTCATTAATATTTTAAGGTTGTATAACTGCCACTGGGCCCCATTTGATAGATGATATTTTTGTCTTAAAACAGTATATCTGTAAAACTCATCTTCCTCATCTTTCAGTTGGTCCAGAGTCAAAACACTTGCTCCCATCCAGTTTTTCCATATTACCATCCTTTCAGTAATTTTTAATACAGTTTAGGATTTCCCTACAAGGTGAGTTTGGCATGCGAGTATGGGTCAAATTTATTTTTTATTAGACAATATGTTCCATATCTTCCTAACTGACTTAGTTGTTTCTAGAGTCACCTGAGATTTCAAGTATTTTGATCCTGGTATTGACCAGCCCACCAAAGCTGCTGTATAGGCATATTCTAAGGTGCCCATGTCAGAAAATTATTACCAACAGTGAGTTGCCAGTATTTAATACATGACAGTAAATAAGCATAATGATATAGTTCCAAGTTTGGAATTCCGAAACCTCGTTTTTAAATTTGTAACTGCATTCTCAACAAGGATGTTCTCGGTGTTGTTGAGTCCCAAAGGCATTTCCTAAGCAGGGAGTTTATCTTTTGGAAATATGATCCTGATATAAAAACTGGAAGTCCTCTCCATAAGATGTGTTCTTAAAGATGTACACTGCCAGGGGATCTTTTGATAAATATAAATTGAACAAATAAAATAATAATGGTACATTGATTGTTTGCAACCTCCCCTGGGACCTCATGGTAAATTAACAACCACCACAGTGATGCAAAATGTCTTCCAGTGTACTGTTTCATGCGGAGGAGGCATTCAGCAAAGAGTGGTGAAGTGTGTCAACATGGAAGACAGCACCGCTCATGCCCAGAGCCTCTGTGAGCAGAAGTCCAAGCCTGTGGGTTCTCGGAAATGCAACCTGCGAGAATGCGTTGGTAGCAGAGGTGGGTGTCTCTCAACAGCAGCAAATACAAAGGAGCCGCCTTCCACACAACCAGCTGCTGCTTCATTTGCTCAGTCCCTGTTTAGCTGACAAATTTCTCGAGGGCTGCATCTTAAGACCTGGGTCAAAACCACTGAACAATAGCCAGGTTCACGTCAACCATATATCAGTTTCAGTTCCCAAGAGAGGTTCAGCAGGGCGCAGAAGGGCTGTCCCCTTGTCTCTGGACCAAAACTGATTTGAAATTTAAATGCCTGCCATTGCTCTATTGTGGCACTGACACAGGTCTTAGGGTCATGCTACAGACTAATGAGGAATAATAATTAGAGCTGTGGAATGATGGTGTTCTTACTGAAAACGGGGGGTGGGGGACACAGAAATCACTTTTTACTGTAACTTCAAAGATGTTCCTGAACCTGGCTATTAAGGGGCTCAAACAATGCAGACATGATTAGACTAGCAAGCATGATCATCACAGTTCATGAACCAAAGCAGGATTCTTCAGATGCCTGGTTTTCTGGATAAAAAAACTGCAGGGATGAATCAGGTATTCATTGGCAATTTGACTGGGTGGAAATGTTATCTGTCTGCAGCCCAATGCTTTCAGTGGATGCATGCATAACATGACTGTGAATCTTCTATCCACCATCTGATACAAGTAGTCAGACAGGGATGCAAGTCTTCCAGGAGAAGCGTGCCTTAGCTGAGTGGCAGAATACACAATCTTTATGCGGAAGGTCCTTAGTTCATTCCCTGTTTTCTTCCGGTGGGGTTGAGAAAGACTCCTGGCTGAAACCCTGGAGTCACTGCCTGACAGTTTAGACCAGGGTTTCCCAAACTGGGGTCCTCATCTGTTGTTGGACTACAACTCCCATCATCCCTAGCTAGCAGGACCCGTGGTCAGGGATGGTGGGAATTGTAGTCCAAAAAAAGCTGGAGAACCAAGTTTGGGAAACCCTGGTTTAGATAAGGCTAGAGGTAGAGGTAGACTCAGTGTGAAGCAGCTTCCTAGAGTTGGATCAGGGCAAACATGCAGAAGGGAAGAAGTCAAGAAAAACTCTACAATGACTTTCTGGAAAATATTGCTCATTTTTGTATAGACATATGGTATGCACGAATGCTCAGATAATGCTGATATATGCTCCATACTTATTGTATTTTTAGATATGTGGGATATACGCAAGTCCATATGTTGATCTCCCTCGTTTTTCTACATCTGATGACTAAGGCTCTTGTTTCTTTTTCCTTATGCAATGCCTTACCAAAGTAAACTCTACAAAAAGAAGCATGTTTGGTTCTATAGTACATATAATTGTGTCACAATTCTGTGGGCGGTGAGGTGCTCCCCCCCCCCATAGAACACATATGCACATTGGTAAAACACCACACAAAAAGAATGTTGATGCTGTCATTCATACAGTTGCATCAAGATTACCTTTTTGCATTGTTCTAGCAAAGCACACAGGTGCCTAAGTAGCACAGAGAGAGGATGCACACACAATGCAGAAGCTGAAAAGCTACAGCAAACTCTGCAGTTCCAGTTCTGGTAGATGATTACAGAAATTATGTTCAGGCTTCCTCAAACTCGGCCCTCCAGATGTTTTGAGACTACAATCCCCATCACCCCTGACTACTGGCCCTGCTAGCTAGGGATCATGGGAGTTGTAGGCCAAAAACCTCTGGAGGGCCGAGTTTGAGGAAGCCTGTAGTTAAACCAGAATTCAGGGAGACTGGCAGAGTGAACCACAGAACCGAGAAGGAAATGAGATGTGAGAAATCATCTCATCCATAATAAAAAATAAAAGAGGTGTAGGATGTTGAATTCTTCCACCATTGCACTATTTCATGTTTATTTCTTGTGTGGACTCTATGTAAACATATGAAGCTGTCTTATACTCAGGGCTTAGTCACCCTTACTTTTCAGCCGCTTTTCCCAGGCACAATCCATGCTTTGAAGCTCAGTGTCTGAGCATCCTTCCCCCCCATCCCCATCCCCTCCAGAGCTTCCCCCACAAAAATCCACTCTTTAAAGCTGAATTGGAGCAAACAGCATTCCACTGAAAACCTGAATTGACGTTCTTTCCAATTTAGTGGTAAAGAGCAGGTTGCCATAGGGAAAGCTCAGGGGCACCACACACACACACACACAAAGAGAGAGAGGAGAGAGAGGGGGGGAGAGAGAGAGAGAGAGAGAGAGAGAGAGAGAGAGAGAGAGAGAGAAAGAGCGCTTGGAGACGGAGCTTTAAAGTGCAAACCTATGCCTGGAAAGAGAGGGGCAAAAGGTGAGCTGAGGATTGAACTTAGGACGTTCCCTGTGCAAAACAGATGCTCTGCCACTGAGCTCTGGTCCATGGGGTCACGAAGAGTCGGACACGACTAAACAACAACCACTGAGCTACAGCCCCGACCCACCCAATCACTATAGTCAGTGACTAAAACTTTGGTCAGGGCAGGGATGGGGAGCCTGTAGCTCTCCAAATAATGTTGGATGACAGATCCCTTCATTCCTAACTGTTGCCATGCTAGCTAGAGCTGATGCAAGTCTGACAACGTCTAGAGAGGTTTGGAGGGTGGCAACATGAGAACGGGCCTTCTCTGCAGTGGCTCCCCATCTGTGGAATGATCTCCCCAGGGAAGTTCGCCTGGAGCCTTCATTATACACCTTTAGGTGCCAGACAAAACATTCCTCTTTAATCAGGATTTTGGTTGATCCGATTTACATCCTATGCCCTTTTAAAATTTGTTTTTTTTGGGGGGGGTTATTGGGTTGCTGTTTTTCTTTTTATTAGGTATTTTGTGGTATTATATCTTGATTTTATTCTGTGAACTGCCCTGAGACCCCTGTGTATAGGGCGGTATATAAATTCAATAAAAAATAAAAATAATAGAGTGCCACAAGTTCACCACCAGTGCTTTCAGTAATTAACAGCACGCTTAGACTGCAACCCTAAGCACACTTCCTAGGACGAGAAACCCCAGTGAACACTATGAGACTTACTTCCAAGCAAGCAAACATATGGTTATGCTGTCAATATCTTTCCTTCTGCCTCTCTCTGATGTCCTATGATGTTATCCTAACTCTGTAGGCACCAAAAGCTACTGCTGTTTCCTTTTACGAATGTGTGTGTGTGTGTTTCTTCACTATAGGTTTGCCTTGCGGCAAGGACAGACTGTCGGCGAATTTCTGCGAGAGAGTGAGGGATCTTGGGAAATGTTCCATGCCTTCAGTGAGGAATCAGTGCTGCGCTACTTGCAAGATACCTGGGGATGCTAACGCAACAGGACCTCGAAAAGTGACCCATGCCTGAAATTGCATGGCTGAGAACTAGGACTGCTAAATCAGAATGTGAAACGGAAGAACGTGATCCAACAGGGTGTAGGGAAGCTGTAGCATCCCAGAAGCCGCTGGGCGCCTGCCCCAGCCAACATGGCCAAAGGTCAGGACTGATGGGAGTTGTAGTCCAAAGCCGAAAAGCCAAAGCCTAGTGGGGTGGAGCTGCAATGCTAGCTTCCCAGCAGTGGTGGCGCTGTGGCTTACCAAGTGGGAGAGGGACATGGCAGCAAAGAAGGCAGGGCTGTGCAGGCACCAGGATGCTAGCACTGTAACTCTGCCCCAGCAGATGAGCCACAACTGCCTGAAGGGCCACAGCCTCCCCACTCCTGCTAGAGAGCTACACTGCCACTTCCGCCATGGAACTATAATGCAGTGGATTTGAACTGTCTCCAAATCCAAAGATCGCCTGAACCTTTTGTCCTGATTTGCAACGTCAGATTCACTTATTGTACTGTCTGTTCTGCTTTTCATCTTCACTGTTTATTTCCCTTTTTCCGGCCTCCTTCCCTCTGTTTTTCCCACCTCTCTTTAAAAACACACACCAAAAAATGCTTTTGGTGCTATGCTGGAAGTGCCCCAAGATGCTAAAGAGTTGTTGTCAGCGGCTGCCTCAGGTCTCAGCTCACAAAAGACCAACGCCAAGCTCTTCTTATATACAAGGATGTTTATTGCAGTTCATTATTGGTTCCACAACCGAGGCGTGCAGCCCCGCGTCTTTTAGCCTAGACGTTTGAAGTCCCCTCTGAGTCGGTCCCGCCTCTACACCAGCTTAAGAGGCTTGTGCTAGACCACCTCTTCCTGTCTTTCCTTTTCCGCAGGGTCTTCCTGCCCCCCTGGGTTCCTTCCCTCCTGCTGTCTCCTGAAGCGGATTCCTCAGATGCCTGTTCCCCCCTCCTTCGTGCTTTGGGGCTAGGCTCCTCCTCCGGGCTTCCTCCATTTCCGCGCGCCTCCACATTTGAACTTGGCGCGCGTTCGCTACCCCTGACCTTCCTCTTGACACTTACACTGCTCCCTGTACTACTCTCCGCCTCTTCCGGCAGGACGTCCTGCCCCGATCTCCTTCCCCTGTCCTTTCCTGCTCCGCTCCGTGTGTCACACTGGGAACTCCCCTCTCTTCACTTCGTTCCTGCTGGGAAGCCGGCCCCGATCTCCCACTCCCACTCGGGGTTTCCCTGCTGCTTCCCTGCTCCTGGCAGGTCCCCCCTGTGACCCCCCTTGTCCTGACTAGGGGCGCCCCCTCCTGGGAATCCTCCGATTCACTTGAGAGACTCATGGAAGACCTCAAGTCATTGTCATCCTCTTCCTCACTGTCCTGGGATTCTTCCTCATCGCTCTCCGTCTCCCCCCTCACCTGTGCCTCTGTCTCTGAACCCCTGACATCCATC